GCCTTGCAAGGGAATCATGGAATTTTGGAAAGGTTGAACGGACCAGACCGTGGGCTGATTCAAAATGGGAAATGATGAGCAGCAGCAGCCACATGGTTTGCCCATCACCACGGAGAGAACCTCCTGGTTCATAGCCCATGAACACGGCGATCCACTGTCAAGGGGCGGCCGGTAGCAGATGGGAACTGGCGCGATAGAAGCGTTAGACTGTGGAGCATCCCGGGTGATTTACGATGTTTCATGATTATCACGCCGCTGCTATTTAGTCCCTGTAGTCTAAAGTAAAAATCGCGCCGTGGCAAAGGCCGGAGGTCGGGCCTAACCAGTACACGTAGACAGGGTAATTCTTCCGTCTTGGCTGGGGATCCGTGATATTGATGGCCAGACGACTGCACGTCTGCAGAGTGATGAGGATGTTGAGAATGATGGAACCTCGAGGGGGGAGGGGGGTGGTTAGGGCTGTCGGATGTAACACGGAGCCGGGCCGGAAACCTTCCGTGTCTCACGGTCTCACCCATCAAGGAGTCTGAGATCTTGTTGTGACTCCCTGTTAAACGGTTGCAGGGTTATTCCCCATGTTCCTCGCAGGGTATGGCCGGTGACTGCGGAAAAAGAATCTTTAGATCGTGTCTGCATAGTGTCAGGAACGCTGAACCGCCGGTCCACAGACAACAGGCAAGTGGGCCTTTTTTCCGACCCACCACATCGCGGGACCACAAATCCAAAACAAAAAAGAACCCAAAAGAAACGTAAGATTTATTGCACCAGCAAGCCAGCACCCCGTTTTCACTCCCAGAAGGGTAGCTCCGAGCGCTTCCAGAACACGAAGTATGTCTCCATAAATCGGGTATTATGGCCACCTTGGTAAGGGAGGGCAATATGATCCCATCAGCGTCTCTGACTGGTGCCATTAAGGACAAGAGTCTCCACTTGAAATAACCTCCTAAGTCTTCCAAGAGGATCCGGTCCTTGATGAAGAATGGGGATGACGTCCACCTGTGTCTTACATTCAAATTTAGCTGCAGGACGCCAGCGGAAATAAACTAATGGAGGTGAAGTCTTAATCTGAGACCAAAAGCCTTAGCAGTTTAAGCTTCTTGCAATGTGGTGATGAGATATGTACGGCGTGGTGAGGCCGGATTGTACGTGCGATAAGCCTACCAGTGGAAAACGTTTTATCTCTGTCGTCCAGCAACGGTCGGTCGAATTACCATCTCGGGCGTAGGGGCTCATATAACAGAGAACAGTCGGTGGATTAAGGGCTGTAGGACCATCGGGTTCCGGCCTTAAGCATGGTCAATGCTACTCGGTATCTGGACGAGCGATGAAGAGGGTGGAATATTCAGTTGTTTTCATTTCCCGCCAGCGCCCTTGACCAGATGCAGCAACTTTTCCGCAATCCTTATGCAGCGGTTGATTCCTGAATGTTGCAATCTAGCATCTGGGCCCGCAAGAGAGTGGCGTAGCTGCGATATTGGCTGACTATTTTGTCCGTCATTCACAACTATAAAATGGCAGTTATAGGAGACCGGCTTCTTGGTGCAATCTACTTGGTCCCTTCCCGCTTTATGGCAGAGGAGTAGACTGCTCATATCGCCTCCAATTCGGGCAATGATATGCATCTGCAGTGTCTTCCTGGCGAGGAACAAGGTACTTGTGCTTCCATATCGCTCAAGTATTGGCAAAAATCGAGATGGTATGCTCCATACCAAGCCCAGCTAATGTGATAGTGACCACGCCCATTCCCACCGACTGACCATGTCGAATGCGAGGAGAAATGGAAAAAGGGGAAGATTCGAGATGTCCGAATACGACACATAGATGAGGTCCTTGATCGGATCTCGCGGCATGAAATGGCATCCCAAATTAAGCCAAGAACATTATATAAGGATACAATCCGCTTGCTGTTGTCCTACGCAAGTGAACTCGGTAGGTATAGGGTACAGACAGATCAGACTGCGATTTGAATCCATAAGATTGAGGGACTGGGTTAATCCCATCTTGCCAGCACACCTTGGACATGAAGCCCAAAGTCAACAATCAATCAATTAAACTCATCATCCTCAGACTGGGGGGCCGGTAATGGACGGCAGATGACTGCCGACTAATGCAATGTGATGTATTTCTAATAAAGCCTTTATTGCTGGTTGGGTAAGGATAGTGACGGTGTCAAGAAGCTTGGTGTCGGCATATATCTTACATTTCAAGGTTCCTCCCAAGTTCCGTCCGCGGGGCTCAGCTGGATAAGTTAATTCCCACGAAAGACTGCTAACCTATCGTTGCCTCGTTGTTCCCGCCTTAATGCCTTAGTGCCTGAGACCAGTTATGGTGCCTTGTAGCCTAGCGGGTCAGTGCTGATGCCTGAATGAGATACCACATCACATGACACCAAGGGCGGCAAAAGCTTTCGGCTCCGTTCCTCCTTTGGGACAGTGCAGGCGGAGGAAAGCGGATTACATAAAGAGCCTGCCCTTGCGCGACGGGAGCTGGGGATAGCTATTATGCGGGGGAGTAAAAAGACGTAAAGACTAGAATGGTGATTAGTGCTTCTAGGTCGGCCTCTCCTCTTTCCTATGAGAAGAATTGGACCAAGCACATCCTCACTCGCCGTCACAGGGAAATACATTCTCTTAAGTCTAGCCGCACTGTAGAGCCTCGCCGTGTATCCCCGACGCTTGCAATTAGCCTTTGCCTGATTGGTTCTGATTTGCTGAGTCAGCCAATTGCCGGCCGTCAGACCCGAGGTTACCTTCCGATTCCAAAGGCGACAAAACATCGCCAGCATCGATCGACTTCGACTTCAATCCACCTCGTGCCTCTCTTGGTCGTTGCCTTGTCATTGCCGCTGGCTGGCTGCCTTTTCACAGACCTCTCTCCTCTCCGCTTCGCAACATCCAGTTGTCGTCTCGCCGTCTATTTCTCCTTCCGCCTCAGTACCCTCAGGGTCTATCCCATTTTTCGCCTCCCTATCTTCCATCCCTCCGGGTTGAAATTGAAGGATCGCCCACCATGTCTGCCCTCCGCTCGACTTCGCGCCTTTTCGCGGCTTCCAAGCCCCTCTTCCGCCCAGCTGTCTTCGCCCGCTCTTATGCGACCGTTGATCCCGTGGCCCAGGTGAGCGCAACCGGCCATGCCACTACAAGCATCACCCCCGAGTCTAAGACGTCGACCGTGCAGGAACCCACCCCGTCCGAGCAGCCTCGCATCAAGAAGTTCCAGGTCTACCGCTGGAACCCCGACACTCCCTCCGAGAAGCCCCAGATGCAGACCTATGAGTTGGATTTGAACAAGACCGGTCCCATGATGCTCGATGCGCTCATCCGTATCAAGAACGAGATCGACCCCACTCTGACTTTCCGGAGAAGTTGCAGAGAGGGTATCTGCGGTAGCTGTGCGATGAACATTGATGGTGTCAACACTCTCGCTTGCTTGTGTATGTTCTGATTCTTTCCGCGACCGCAATTTATGTGAATATGAGTCGCTGACTGTTCTTATGCAGGCCGCATTCCCACCGATACTGCCAAGGATTCTCGCATCTACCCGTTGCCTCACACCTACGTCGTCAAGGACTTGGTCCCCGATTTGACCTACTTCTACAAGCAATACAAGTCGATCAAGCCCTACCTTCAGCGTGATACTCCTACCGAGGATGTAAGTACTTGTCGCATTGAATGGGGCAAACTGGGTTCCTAACATGGTGAACGCAGGGTCTCGAGTACCGCCAAAGCCCGGAGGAGCGTAAGAAGCTCGACGGTCTCTACGAATGTATTCTGTGCGCCTGCTGCTCGACCTCTTGCCCCTCTTACTGGTGGAACAGCGAGGAGTACCTCGGTCCCGCCATCCTGATGCAGTCCTACCGTTGGATGGCCGATTCCCGTGATGAGAAGACCGCTGAGCGTAAGGCCGCTTTGGACAACAGCATGAGCGTCTACCGTTGCCACACCATTCTCAACTGCTCTCGGACTTGCCCCAAGGGTCTGAACCCTGCTCGCGCAATTGCCGAGATCAAGAAGATGATGGCTGCTCACTAGGAAAGCGACCAAGAACAAAAGAAAAGAACTGCTTGATTTCTTCTTTCCCTTTCTGTCCTAAGTCGTCTGTTATTTCAATTTCTTCCTCTCTTCACTTTTTCTTCTCCTTCCAGTTCCTTTTCGCTCGCGCTCTATTCCCTCCGTTTTCGAGGTCTCATGTCGGATGTTTCAATAGGTGTAAATTGTGAATGTTGACTTTCTTAGCCGCGGTGGTCAGTTCTACCAATGGAATTTCATATATATATTCTACATTATGCATTGACGGATCTTTGAAATCTTTTGGAAATTTGGGGGGAGGATCATGGCAGCATAATCAAATGTGCGGCTGGACTGACATGCGCAGACACGGATTTGTACTCCTTGCAGAAGACGGCTACTTGCACAGGGGGAGCGCCAGACATGGTATCATGCAGGTGTTAGGTTCGACCTCGGTGCGGTCGGCATATAATCCAAGGAGAGTCATCAACTCAAACAGCAGACCCAACCATCAGACAAGTGAGGTCTTGCACGTATCAAGATAGATGCCCAGATGACACCCTCGAATGATATATAACATATCTTGAGACGAGTTTGCTCATCCGAAAACTTCTCGCAAATTAGCTGCGGGCTTGACACGATGGAGTCGATCAATCTATCAAACGCATGGAGATCCCGGAGTTCGCGCGAACATCCCGGGTCAGCTGTACGGCATCTTTCTTATTACAAGCAGTATCTCTTTGTCGGGGAATGGTCAGGGTTTAACGACTAATAAGAGATTCTGTTATCATGGCCAAGACTGATCAGCACTTCAGATCACATGCCGGCAAGAACTACTACGGTAGCAACTAGGATGATCAATTGTGTAGCCTACCCGACTACGAACCCTCTTGACAAGGCACCATAGAATTGAGTGGTCCGGTTCAAGGTCAAGGTGGTGGTCTTTGGCTGCTATAAATTCTCGGGGCCGCAATTTCCTGACTCAGGTGAAATGCCAGTCATCAAACATCCTTCACCACTTCATTGGCATGGGAAGACGAAGAAGAAATCTTGCTTCCACTGCCAGGAAAAGCATACATTTGCGCCATGCCCTGTTTGAAAGACCCCAAAAAAATTGAGACGGGCTCGCTTGCGAAAAGAGCACTGGCTTGCACCCCGCTTCTGGCATGCTACGCCTATGCCAATGTCTCGATGAACTCTGTGCTTGCAGGACTCCGTCCTTTAATAGGATCTCTCCTTCAGTCCGGCAGCTGGACTGCGAGCAGTGGAGAGGTTCTGAGGCTGACCGAGCCTCTTTACAACATTCCCTTGTTGGACAAGACTTTTGGAGCCTTGGTGACCTGTTTTCTACCATCTACCACTGGATCCGATGTTTTGTCACACGCGCAAATGCTGTCTTTTATGACGGACCTTGGTCTGATATACGGTATTTGGCTTCTAGAAAGCGGTCGAAGAGCCCATTCTTGGGCAGAGATTTTCTTGTGAGTGATTTGAGACCGGTCAGATACAGAACCCGCTCATCTGAAATTACAGTCCGATCACCATGGGAGCAGCGTTCCAACTGAAAGGGATTGGGAAGATTGCTCCAATTTACTACATAATCGAGCATCTACGAACACCCTTCAGCAAGCTTGATCACCGCCGCCATGAAGTCAGATCAGATATGCTGACGACCTTCCTGCCTACTATGCTCACGGCATACTACCTCCCGACGCTCGGGAATTTTCTTCCTCGGGAATTACAGAATCGCCGGTACTTCAATGCTATCTGGCAGCTATTCCCGGTGGTAGTTCCACTTCTCCAAGCTCCGTTCCGTCTTTTGGACACGGTGACCTCCGAACCAGTCAAGGGGTTATCCAAGGAACAAGAAGCCATCGAAGCCCAGCGTAAATCAAGAAAGAACCTGCGGTGTATTCGTGGCATCTATCTGTCCTTTGCTGTCATTTCAGGGCTCAGTTTCACGTATGCTCGCCGTTCCCTCCCAGCGGGCTCGTCCATGGCCAGTGCCATTCTACCTGGCTTGTGGGATTATACCTTGCCTGTCGGCAGCTTTGCAGAGGGCATCGCACGGTTCATGAAATACGATGAGAGTCTTGTTATGGCAAGTGGATTCATCTGGCTGGGGTTGAAGTATCGGGAGCTGAAACGGCACGGATACCCGTTGTCGTGGTGGAAGGTGATTATGGGAATGGCGGCCACGACGGCGGCGTTTGGGCCGGGGGCTGCAATGTCGTTGGGCTGGGGACTGCGCGAAGAGATGCTGGCGAAGATTGCTGCATAGGTTTGCAGTGTGTGTCTCTTTCTACTGTACCGAAAAGGTGTCTGTCAGCCTTAGGCCGTCGCTCGTTTTGTCATAGATGCGTGGGAGGGTGAGGCTTATGCAAAATCTCTAAGACAAAGCCATAAATGAACCCTTAAGAATCCCAACCTTGGCAATTCGGCCCTGTCCGTCTAGTATCGGAGGGGTATCGGCACGATAGACTCGGGAGGGCATTGCACCCAGCCCTTTGGATGTCATCCCCGCATTATCTGATCGGCTCATCTCCGACCCCTCCTCGGGCTTCCCTGCGACATCAACTCTCCCTCTTATAAGTAAAAATCGCAGCGCAATGCAACCAACGCATCATACCACATTACAGAATACAATTCGCTTTCTTCTTTGTTTTTCTCACCTTTGCCTCCGCCGCCAAAATGACCAAACCAGCCATTGGCTTCGTCGGCCTCGGCGCCATGGGCTTCGGCATGGCCACGCACCTGGTCCACGAAGGCTACCCCGTCCACGGCTACGACGTCTTCCCCGCCTCGATCGACCGCTTCAAAGCCGCGGGGGGTATTGGGGCTGCCTCGCTGCGCGCCTCCGCCGAAGACAAATCCATCTACGTGTGTATGGTGGCCTCGGCGCCGCAAGTCCAAAGCGTGCTCTTCGGAGATGAGGGCATTGTGCAGTGTACTTACCCCCATGCCCCCGTCCCTTTTCCCACGCTCCCCACCCTCGAATCCTTCCCCCAACCCCAAGAAGCCAGCTACACCCTAATCTAACCAGCCACAATAAAAAAAAGCCCTCCCCCAAACCGCGACCCTAATCCTAATGTCCACCATTCCGGCCACAACCGCCCAATCCCTCGCCCAAACCATCCACACCACCCGCCCCGATATCTTGGTCATCGACGCCCCGGTCTCCGGCGGCGCCCTGCGCGCCGCAGCCGGTACCCTCTCCATCATGGCCGGCGGGAGCCCCGCCGCGTTGGAGGCCGCCACCCCGGTCCTGGAGGCGCTCAGCGCCCCCCGCAAGCTCTACCTAGTACCCGGCGGGATCGGCGCCGGCAGTAACATGAAGATGGTGCATCAGGTGCTAGCGGCGATCCATATCCTGGGCGCGAGCGAGGCGCACGGTCTGGCGGCGCGGTTGGGGTTGGATGCGGCGCGCACGGCGGAGAGGATTGTTTCTGGGGAGGCGTGGACCTGGATGCATGAAAATCGGTCGCCGAGGATTCTGGGGGGGGAGAAGGACTGGAGTCCCGGGGTTAGTGCGGTGACTATCATTTTGAAGGATGCAGTATTGTTTTTCCTTATTTTGGGTGATAATAGGTTGACGGTTGCTGACTGCTGTATGTGTAGGGGATCATCACGACCTCGGCGAGAGAACAGCACTTCCCGACGCCGCTTTGTGCGACGGCGGAGCAGATCTATCTCTCGGCGCTGCTGCAGGGGGACGGGGCCAAGGATGATGCGGCGCTGGTGAGGCAGTATTTTGCGGGACCCGTGGCGGAGGTTGATGCGTCTGCGCTGAGCAAGGAGGAGCAGGAGGAGCGGACGCAGCTGGTGCTCGATCTGATGGCCGCGGTGAATCTGGTGGCGGCCGCGGAGGCGATCTCGTTTGCCCAGTTTTTGGGCGTGGATTTGGCTCAGTTCTATGAGCTGGTGAGTGATGCGGCGGGCGGGAGTAAGGTGTTTGTCACTCGGGGGCTGGAGATGATTGAGGGCAGGGTGGGTGAGAAGGCGCCGGCCGGGGCGGAGACGGTGGATGCGCTCGTGCAGCGGTTGGAGAGGGTGGTTCAGAGGGCCAGGGACTTGCATTGTCCGTTGCATTTGGGGAATGCGGCGTTGGGGGTCTTGTTGATGGCTAAGAGGGCTGGGCTGGAGGGTTCGAGTAGTACCAGTGTCGTGGGTTTGTATGAGGGCGGAGGCTGGAAGGGGAAGTTGTGATTACTGATTAGGTTCCTTAGTCAAGAGCCAGAGATATCAACCTTTGTCTCTATTTGAATAGATTTCTTGGATTTCATCTTCCTGCATTGAATATTACCATCTATGGCGGTCTGTGGGTATACAGTCTACCCCTCGCAGTAAGCAAATGACATCAGATCGGAGCAACTCCGGCCTCGGAGCCCCCTCCGCGGGGGAAGTCAGATGGTAAACAGAGAAAGAGGTGAAGTATACTCCGACAGTTATCCCATATACCTCACTTCCCCTCCCCTATAAATCATGACAAGACCACACAGACACCGCTCACCCCACCCATCAACACCCCCCGAGTCCATCCCCACCTCCAACCTCCCCCTCTCCCCAACCTGATTCCAAAATGCCTCCTCTCACCGAAAACCGCGCCATCCCCCTCCTCGACCACGCCGCCGCCAACCACTATGGCATCCCGGCAATGTGCTGCTACAACGTGGAAGGCATCCTCGCGACCGTGCGCGCCGCCGAAGCCAAGCGCTCGCCGGCCATGATCCTGCTCTTCCCCTGGGCCATCGACTACGCGGGGGCGATCCTCGTGCACGCGGCCGCCGAAGCCGCGCGGGGCGCCTCCGTCCCCGTCACGGTGCACCTGGACCACGCGCAGTCACCGGCGATCATCCGACGGGCGGCCGACATGGGCGGGTTCGACAGCATCATGATCGACATGTCACACTACTCGAAGGCGGAGAACCTTTCGCTGACGCGCGAGCTGGTGGCGTATTGCCACGCACGGGGCATCGCCACGGAGGCCGAGCCGGGCCGCATCGAGGGCGGCGAGGATGGGGTCTCCGACACGGCGGACCTGGAGGGCCTGCTGACGACCCCCGAGGAGAGTCTGGAGTTCGTGGACACGGGGATCGATTGGCTGGCGCCCGCGTTCGGCAACGTGCACGGCAGCTATGGGCCCCGCGGCATCGTGCTGGAGTATGATCGCCTTCAGAGGATCCAGGAGACGGTGGAACCCCACGGCACGCGGCTGGTGCTGCATGGCGCCGATCCGTTCACGGAGGAGATCTTTCGGAGGTGCATCGGTTGCGGGGTCAGTAAGGTGAATATCAATAAGGTGTTGAATAATGAGTATGTGCGGGTGCAGGCGGAGAAGGCTGGCAAGGCGCCCTTGACGGCGGTTATTGAGGAGGCCACCGCTGAGATGCAGAAGGCCGTTGAGCGGTGTATTGATATGCTGGGGTCCGCGGGGAGGTATCCTTGATTGGGGTGTGTAGGGGTCTTTATTGTGTATATGGGGTGGCGTTGATTTGGCTTATCATGGACAATCAGCTGCGGGTGAATATATATTGGCAATGCAGGAGACATCTGCCGGGGCCTTGACACGGTTAAACATAGACACCGTAATGCCTCAATTGGCACACAATGATCTATTTTTATTCCTTCAATGGTGAATTAGAGTCGACCAAGAGACTTCAATACAAATAAGTTGTTATAGAAGGCTCAACATCGAGGCGGACGGTGTGACATATGAGATTGCATCATTGCTCTCTTAGACTGGCTAGCTTGTTTATCTTTCAAGCAAGAGCGTTAGTGGTGTAGCGGTTAGCATTGTTGCCTTCCAAGCAATAGATCGGGGTTCGACTCCCCGCTGACGCAACATTTCTTTTTGTTTTTTGTGCCTTGCGCAGCCGGATAAGGGGCTTATCAGTCCGGATGCTGGTAACTGGACTCCCACAAGCGCAGAAGAGGCAGGTCCGTATGTGTCTGGACCAGATCATGGAGTTGTTCCTTCATAGAATGCTAAATCATCCCACATGAACACAACCCCTTCGCATATCAACCAAGGTGTACGGTCTTCGAATGGAGCCGTTTTGTCAATTGTGGTGTCGGCAGCCGTGTTGAAGCATGCGCTCCTCCCAAACAAAGGGTAATCGAGATGTCAGACGACTCCGCTAGTGATACGAAAACTCCGCCCAGATCTACATCGACCATCATTGGCAAAGTCTGCTCGTAAGTTGTAATTAGCAGCCAACGCAAACATGCAAGGCTGACACACCGTATGGCACCCAATAGCGAAGCATCTCGCTGCCGTCGCCGATTCCCCTGGTCAATGCAGCGCGGAGCCTCGTATTGCATCCAATGAACTTGTCGGTATCATACGTCTGCCAATGGAAACAAGTCTCGATGCCTTACACGACATCTGATGGCTTGGACCAACAAGCCCAGCACTGCGCCCACTGTTCCAAGAAGATCCTTCCAAGCTGCTGTTGGCTCACCACAAATGCTCTGCCTGGACCTCGCACCCAGCGTTGGCCTAGATTATAAGAATGGACAGAAGAACAATGGGAGCAGGCTCATTCTCGAGCGACGTTCTTATAATACTCCCTAGCACATTTTCTACTGTCGAACTCGAGCGAGTCCAATTCGGTTCCCAGTGGTGAAAGCATCGAAGTCCGAACTCAACCATCCCCTTCAACATGGCCGAGAAACCCACCCCTGGTATGTCCACCCAGCCCCGGGATTCAGCCCAGCTAACAGCTTCAGCTTCAGCTCCAGTTCCCACATACGAGAACATGCAAGAGATCAACCAACCGAGCATCAACCATCCACCTCCGGCATATGCGCAGCCTCCGATGGAAACGATCACTCCTCCCCCTCAGCCCCACGGACCCTCGTCGCAGAACTTCTACGCGGGGACGCAGACACACCATACGAGCGGATACAATAATGCGACACCCCTGCATGCGCTTCAACGTGGCCCAGCGCCCGTGGACTGTCCAAGTTGCGGCAGTCGTGAGATGACGCGAGTGGTAGCGGAGGCGGGAAATACTACACAGTAAGATGCCGTGGTGGAAGTAACACGGGGGTATATACTGATCTCTCGCAGTGCATGGGCTGCAGTGACTTGCATCTGCTGCTGCTTGGGATGTATTCCCTATCTGATGTCGTCGCTCAAGGATGTGCACCACTACTGTGGGAAATGTGGTGCATTGCTGGCGACCTGGCACAATAGCGGACGGACGGATGTGCATCAACACAACTGATCGCGCTATGATTGACGGTGGGGTGGTTTATGTTTAGGGATGATTATTATCGCTTGTTTTTGTATGCCTGGATGTTGATATACCCCGATAAATGCTTACAGAAGCGAGGCCACGTTGTTTCCGGCCTGGCTTGCTTGTTCTCTGCAACAATTTTGCTGCCCTTTGTATAACTTATTGCCGTGACATGAAAATCAACTTCCTTGCCGAAGAAAGATAATCGCTCCAGCAGTTCGGTGACCTGCTGAGCAAAGTAATGCCCCCTTCAAGATATGTCACTCTGAGCCTCAGGCTGAGATCCCCCATCGTCCAAGGATCCTGCAGTCCATGGCGTGCTGTCGACGGGCGATTATTCGGCCCCCCCCCCCCCCCCCACTGGTCTGAGCGTTTGGCAACATCAAGCACTGCCATAATCTAAATCAACAGGCTAGCGGCACCTTCGACAACAACCCCCCTTCTTGATTATAAATGCGCCATGCTCCCAAAGACTCACCCACTCACCGGGGGCCCTGCAAGGCTTAGATGATAGCTTCGAAGGGCATACCGAATTTCTCGAACCAGCTCTTAACCTACTGAACGCACTTCAAGACAACTAACATAGCATACCCAGCCACCGCCCACCATGACCGCACCCACCAAGATCAAAGCCGTCTTCTTCGACTTCATGGGCACCTGTCTCGACTGGCACACCGGCGTCGTCCAGGCGATGCCGGCCTCCATCCCCGCGCCCGCCGCCTCGCAGCTCGCCCTCGACTGGCGCCGGCAATACTTCCTCGAAAACGAGCAGCGCGTGCGCGACCACCTAGCCCCGGAGGACATCGACCTGACCCTCCGCCGGGCGCTTGGTGTCGTTCTCGACCGCAATCCCGACTACAAGACCCACCTCGGAGAACTATCAGACCCGGACACGACAACCCAGTTAATCCAAGCCTGGCACCGCCAGCCCGCGTGGCCCGAGGTGTCGACGGCGATCCAGCGGCTCCGCGACGACCTCGGCCTCGAGGTCTTCGTACACGCCAACGGCACCACGCGGCTCCAGCTGGACCTGACGCGCTCGTCCGGGTTGCGCTTCGATATGCTCTTCTCCAGCCGGTTGCTGGGAGTCTACAAGCCGCGGGCGGAGGCGTATCGAAGGGGACTGGAGCTGGTGCAGCTGCAGCCCGAGGAGGTGGTGTTGGTCGCGGCGCATGCGTATGATCTGAGGGGCGCGCAGAAGGTGGGCATGCGGACGGTTTACGTGCATCGGTGGACGGATGATGTGGATGAGGATATAGAGATGGTGAAGAGCGAGTTTGATGCGTTTCTGGAGGGGATGGAGGGGTTGCCGGCTGCTGTTGCGGGGTTGTAGATTGGGTTGGAGCTTGGGGTGGGTTTCCGGTCGGTCGGTCGGTCGGTCGGTCGATCGGTCTCCCGTAGTTGCTTGATTCTTTCTTCTTGTGCAACTGTGTCTATTGGTGTCTAGTTTTGGACTTCATGCTATCTAAAGCTTAGATGAAGATGTTGATAAGCATGGTTATACTCTGCTGACCTGCTCATATCAGAACTTTGACTGATCGAAATGCGACCGTGGAGTGGATGACATACCTCCCACTGCATTGCTCACATCATCCCCTGTCTAGGTATACTCAACCATCCCCATCCAATCTTCGAATCAACGTCTTCATCGTTCACTCCCCACCATAGATGGGCACGAATCGGAAGACCGACGGGACAGGGAATGGAACCACGGAAATGCAGGAGTGGTGACGCCAACGGGACGAGCGGATCTTCCACCCTCTCCACAATCGCTTGATGTCAGCACTCGGGAATCATCCCTTGAACTCATTCTAAGGTGTCTCAACGCATCTCCAATATGATACAATGCAAATCTACAGCTCTCAAGAGTGAGACATCTCACCGAGACGGCCGGAGCTACACTCGGCACGCACGCGAGGATTTTTGAAACTACAGGCTGCCGTGCCCATTCGATTCTCCTCATCCATTACTACCCGGATCGGGAGTATATGACCCTTACACCTCCCCTCCCTGCTCCTGTCAGACCCCAAATAAGCTTCGTGGTGTGATCCCCGGCTGCCAGACGCCAGACCCGTCCAACGTTGCATGCATGTGCTCTCCACCACGTCATTGCGATCTTGGAGTCATGACTTTCTTTCCGCTGCTCCCGATGGTGCGCAAGTCAAGTCTGCCAACGGGTCAAACTCCCTAGGTTCCTTTCTCGTCGCTCTCCATCCCTTCGCGAATCCTCACCTGCTCCTACCCTGCCGTGCTGTGGTGATCTGTTGGAGAGCTGCGGTCTGTATCGTCTGTCTGTCGTGATCCCCGTTCCTATTCCATTCCCCTGTACGACGTGAGTATCCGCCTTCAAAGGTATACAGGAACATCGAACAAGTGCTAATTATGCCAGACCATGGCTGCCATCAACGCCCTCGTGTCCACCGCTGCACAACGACACCACCAGCTCATCAAGCGAAGCAATTGGGCCAGCAGAAACCCCGGCGTGGTTCTGGTCTTCTGTATCGTCTTCCTTGTCGCCGTCGGAATCATCGCCCTGTTAATCTACCGCCGATGGCTGAAACGGAAAGCAGAGAAGCAATCCTATGATGTCGCGTGAAGCCTCCTCGATCCGACCGTGGCGTCACCAATGGTTTGAGCGATGGAGGACCGTGACTACAGTACCTTTCTTCCAAGGCCGTTCTTTCTACTATATCATTTCTCTAATTTCTATTACTGCTGTTTGAGTTATCCACCAAGGATACCCGCTCTGTTGTGTTGGTGGTTAGTCAGGGGTTAGTTGAGGCTGTGTCGTCGAGTGATGGATTCATGGAGGGGAGGGTTGAATGGAGGAGTGATTAGATGGGCGATGACGAGCAAGCGACTTTTCTTCTATTTTATGCGGGCAGAAGAATGATCTAAAGTATACGGAGTACGCGTCAAGGAGATATACGATCTAACTAATGGATGAAACGTGATCAAACGCAGTGGAGAAATAGGCTGTGAAATCGGCTGTGTCTAAGTATAGCCACAATATCTGGAGAAAGGAGCCGCAAGTAGCCACTTCTTTCACCTCGTAAGGCACTGTTTGGACTGCGACGGCGGGATGAAAGTCTAAGCAGCAGCTACATTAAATCGGACAGGCCGATGATGGATGAAAACTCAAGTCTGCATGCCGGTGCCAAAATTGATTCGTGCCAGCACCAAATCTGGAACTCGTACTCGCTTGGGGCCCATTCTCTCCCATACCCTCAGCCCAGCTCAGCCTTATTATCAGAATCCCCACCGTCGAGCCCAGCCATTTAAATATGAGCTTGAGCCTCAGCTCAACTCACCATCCGAATTGGAAAATGCGTGACCAGTGGAGTGGAAGCGTGGTCAAAATGTCGCTTACAACCTGGATTCTCGCCGTGTCGACAAGCACATTCGCCTACTTGTACCTGCTCCATCGATCTCTCAAAAATGGCCTGGAGCACGAGCACTTTCGAGGCAAGCTGTCTAACCTTTCGAACTCTCCCTCCACCCTCAACTCAATGACCACGATCCCGTCCGACATCTTCAAGTCTAATCACGACTGTCTGTACGAGAAGGTCACTCGTCGCGTTCCGCGCCAGCTTCTCCCCACGACCCACCACCCCTCCGACCTCCTTAACATCCTCCTCCGCCGCAACATGTCTGCCTTCGCCCACTTCCCCCAAGCCTATATGCTCTGGATTCTCAGCGGCTCGGGATCCCGCGCGACCTTCAAGCCGTCCCGCATCCGCCGCCTGGACTTCCAGCGCGGTGACACCATCTGCGGCATCTACCGCGTGGCCGAGCGTCGCCCGACCAGCGTGGAGTTCGAGATCTGCTCCCCCCACGGCGGGGAGGTCGAGGGCCGGCTGCTGCTGCAGTTCTGGGACGAAGCCAAGGAGGTGGTCTTCGCCAGTGAGTGTGTGCTGTGGATCACCAAGGCCGACGGATCGTCGCTGCAGGAGAAAATGCCTTTGAGGAATCCCGTCTGGCGGTTCTTCCATGAGCTGGCTTCCTGGTGGCTGCTGGACTCTGGGGTGCGATACCTGATCGACCTGTCAATGGATGAGGAGTGACGGACGGGGCGGGCGGGCTTGAGGAGGGACATTTTTTCTTTATGCTTTCCCCTTTCACATACACCCACCCCATTGTGAACCTCCATCCCCCCTTCCTTGTTCTCTTTTTGGAGAGCGCATAAAGAAGGGAGGGCTAGGTGGTTGATGGTGATCTTCAGAATGCCTTTCTTTGACAGGAAGATGCTCGGTGAAAGAGAGAATCGCATTGTCTACCTGCTGCGACTTTCCACCACAATTCAGGGGATATAAATAATGGGCGCATGCTCGCTGTGAAGCCGTGATGTTCATTTTCTACACTTCCCAAGTTTGCTGGAAATCGCTGAAAAGTGAAATCCGACATCTTTGCGCCTTTGCGACGATCTGAACCTCACACCTTCGATCCTATACAGCACACAGCGCTCTCAAAATCATCTTGTGTCGACACAACAGTCAGTGCTAGTCACCATGTGTTTCCACAAGTATTCTCACTACCAGGTCTGCAAGCACATCGCTTGCTGCAGCATTGACATCTGCCAGGAGATGGTCAATGGCTTGCGCGCTGGCGATTGCACCGGCCACGAATTCCGGAACTCATACGACCCCGTGAAGGGAGACCTCTGGGGCATGTGCGCGGAGTGCGCTGAGGCTGGTGCTGCTGATCAGCGACCCTCTGGCTCCTGCGCCATTCACCCTCAAGTCCAAGCTATTCCGCTTCTCAAGGAGTATGTGGATGAGTACGTGGCGCGTGCTTCGGCTGCCAACTCGTCCGGTCTCTCCACCGGCGTTCCATCAGTGGAAGCGATCAGTCTCGCGGCGACCGCATCCTCGAAGCCAGCAAGCAGCCAGAGGTCCACCCAGTCGGGCTCTTTCCGAAGTTTCCACTCGGCGCGCACGTCTCTTAGCGAAGACAGCGACGACGGGTACCACCCCGATGTCGAGCCGGGCTTCGACTGCTACAGCAGCAGCGAGAGTAGCAGCACTATGGACGAGGATGACGAGGACGATTGCATTGTCATATCGCAGCTGTCAGACGAGTCGCTGCTGGCCCAGCCGCTCCTGCTCGACAGTTCCAGACCTACTACCAGTGGTTCCAGTACCTCGCGCTACCCAGGCTTCTTCAGCCAGACGAAGTCGTCGACTGAAGCCCTCTTCGAATCTGTCTTCCGGGGCGAGAACGAGCGGCTCGCCGATGACAAGCTCGAGGCGTTGAATCAATCCAACGTTGGGCGAGATTTTGTGAAAAGGAAGCTACCAGCCCTGGACCAGGCCAATCTGAGAGCACCTGCTCTGGATCGGGTCCCTACCGTGACTCCGTCGCCGGGCTTCAGGGAAGACCTTTCGCGCCAGAAGCCGGCCTCTCCGGTTGACTTTTTGGCATCGGAGGGATTCGTAGGGACCGGCTTCATCCCTCCCAAGGAGAGCCGGCTCTACCCTGCTGTGACTGGCACCGGCACCAGCTCTGGTATCACCGCCCCAGCTCCGACCCCGGTGCCAGCTAGTCCGCAGGGACAGAGCATTCCCACGGCACCCCGGGCCTTCTACAACAGACCCCAAGGGACGACAACGGGGCCTACCCTGGACTGGAACGGTGCTCCCCAGCCTGGCTACCAACCTCCCAGCAGCGGAATCACCATCCAACCCATATTTGAGAACCCCGGAGGAGTGCCTTCACTCCAAATCACCGCCCGGCTCGAAGATTTCTCTCAGACCGGCTTCACGCCCTACCTCCCACCCCCCATGGGGATGGGGATGCACGGTCAGGCCCCAAACCCCGGCCTGCTGCCTCCCACCTACCACCCCATCACACCAACAGCACCACCTCAATACCCACAACCTCCGTACGGGAGCTTCCCTCCCCAACCCCAGCTCCAGGTCCAGCCCCAGGTCGCGGGCTTCCGGCCCCAACAGCCCCCCCAAACCTTCACGGGGCCATCCTTCACCGGCTACCGCGAGAACAATAACCGCATCGCCCGCCACGAGCGGCGCCGGCCCGCCCGCCGCGGAGGGGGTGGCAGACCGTCCCAAGACCGACGTAAAAATAGCCCCATGCGCGTTCGCCGCATCTACAACAACCAGCAGCAACAGCCGCGATGGACGCAGCCGGAGTCAGCCGCCGCCGCGGCGCATCACTGGCGCACCCAGGAATCGATCCAGCAGCAGCAGCAGCAGCATCAACAGGCAATCATGCACCAGCTGCAAGAGCAAGAGTTCCAGAATCTGCAGCAGCAGCAGGCCCTCCAGCAGCAGCTTCAGAGGCTGCAGCAGGAGGAGGAGGAACGGTCCGCAGCGGCGGTTCGCCACCAGCCCCAGAACGGCACGACGGGGCTAGAGCTACGCCCCGTCAATCCTCCCGCCACTCCTCCCGTCGTGCAGACCACCATCCTCGAAAGGGCGCCGTATAGCCCCGCTCCCGGGGAGACTGTCAGCCCCTCCGCGCTGGCCGGGTACTCGATGGACGTGGACCAGAGGAAGCCTGAGTCTGCTTTCCCCGAAAAGTGAGATGGGAGTTACTCGCAGGATTACTGGAATGGGAAGTTCTTTACAAGGTCTTTGCTGTCGAAGAATTGAGCCCTACCCACTCTCCACTGGGGCGGGGGGCTACCTGGCTGGGGGCTAGAATTTGAGGAGTAAGTATGTGTGTGATGGTGATATTGGATACACCATGCACCTTTGACACTGATGATTGATGACTTTTCCTTCTGAAGTTTGGAAGTTTTGGATATTTTCGCGCTTTTCGAGAGATTGGAATTTTGTCTAGCTGTGTTAGCGTTTATATTCTACCGATTTTCAGAATGATAGACTTTTTTTTTCTGTCTTTTTTCTTAAACAAGTTTTTCTGCACGTGTTCTCTTGTAGGACTAGGCTTTTGTCTCGGATTTATGTAGGTGCACGACTGATACTGGGCCTATCTGTTCCAAAGTAATAGCTGCCTGAGGCTCAACTTAAGCCGCGCTGGTCACAGGTAATGCAAATTACGCGAATTGCAATAGACAGAGCTTACGGAATGGATTCCATACTTGTACCCACCGCTGGAAAGAAGTATTCAACAGGCATTAGTTCATTCATTCGTGCTCGTACCCATAAGTAATAACAATTAGTAGCCCGTGCTCATACCCATAACCGTAATAACAATTATAGCCAATGAACCCTTCATTCACGACCAAATACCAGGTAAACGCCCTAAACCCATACTCCTTGATATGAAATCCAGTCAAATCCATAAAAAAAGCCAGATATTGCATTTGCCCAAGTACTGTTCGGTGGGAGAGGATCAGGACCAGGGGGCGCGACACATAGGACAAGTCGGCTCCCGGTTCATCTGCGACGCGGACTTCTTCCACGTGAACAGGCAACTAAAATGGAAGTTCGTGCCGCACTGCTGCTTGCAGTAGACAATAGACAGGTCTCGAGCTGCTTGACGGAGGGTTGTGAAAGGAGAGTCGGAAAGGAGGGGCTCGTAGCAGATGGAGCAGTCGCCTGTGATGGGTTGGCGGGCCGGAGTGTAGGTGAGGTTTGGGGCGAGCGGAGGAGGGGATAAGACGATTGGTGTTGATGAGAATGTTGAGGAGGACGAAGAAGAGTGGGGAGGCTGTAAGGCGACGGCAGAGGATGGAGTGTCAGGTCGAGATGTGGTTGTGGTTGATTCGGGAGTGGCGGTTGCGGTTGCGGTTGCTGTTTGGGTTGGGACTGTAGGAGTGGTTGTGGGGGCAGATGTCGGATCAGACGTAGAAGAGGCTTCAGAAGTCATACTAGCGGTCATTGTAGAAGCTAAAGTAGTAGGAGCTGAGGTTGAAGAAGCAGTCATCGAGGCTGCTCTGGGACGCGCAGGAGCACTTGTAGGATCTGAAGCTGAGGCCTCTGGCTCAACATTGTTCACAGAAATTCTTGGAGACGAGACGGAAGTTGTGGGAGCAGCAGTACTTGCGGAGCTGGAGTTCGATGGTGTGATAGTCCTGCTCAAGGTAACGCTTGTGGTGGTAGCAGTAGTGGTAGTGGTGGTGTCCGAGCGTGAAGCATGAGCGCTACGGTGAGTGCTACGGCGAGATTCCGGAACCGAGCCCTGCGTCGAAGGAACTGGCACGCGAGAAGAAGTCGTTTCGAAGTGTCCAGAGATAGAGGTGGTGGCACGACTTGGACTTGATCTGGCGCTTGTAGGCGAGCTGATGGAAGTTGAAGTGGGCGTAGTAGTCGAGGTAGAAGTTGACATCGATGTAGTCGCTGAAGCGCGAGAGCTAGAAGCTGGAGCGATAGTAGCACGAGGGTTGACCGTCGGGGCGGAAGTGGTAGGTGAAGAATTTGAAGTTGAAAGAGTTAGAGGTGAAGGCCTTAATGGGGAGGAGCTTGAAGGTGAGGATGGAGTAGAAGAACGAAGGGTCGGTGAAGGAGCAGTGAATGACCCATGCTGTTCAGTGGTTGACGCTGCATGCTGTGAAGAGGTTGTGGTGATAGCGCCAGACACTCCAGCCGATGACACCCTTGCCCTATGAGTATTACCGTCATTTGAGCTAAACGGCCGAGCCCGCCGATCGACCTCGAGCTTGCTGGAACTTGAAGCCTCCACATCAACTTGGAGGGGCAGGTTCTCATGCCAGCTAGGCTGAAGTCTTGAAGACAATGAGAATCTGTCCACCCTCCTCGATGCCTCAAGTTCATTTGTCTCTCTGCGAATGTCCATATGCTTCACCTCCCGTCCACCATAAATAGTTTCCACGTTATCTAGATTCTCAGTGACACCCAGGATTTGACCCTGCCACTTCTTGACAAGCCCAGGGACCTGACTCCGCTGACCTTTCTGATGAACATGACGACAGAGAACAAGCAACGCCAGATCCATCAGGAGGTCGCCGAGGTCTTCGCCCCTTTTCATTCTTCGACTGCCTTCATCGAGTAGATGCACGGCCGAAGTTCGGTTTGCGGCATTTATGGGGTTGTGACAGCGTCGACCTTGTGAGGGCGCATACCCCGCACACCATCTTTCTGTATCGGGGTGAAGATCCAGGATATCCGAAAGATGATCTGACTTTGCTGGATACCGAGACATCTCTAGTGGGGAATTGCTGTTTGGTGTTGCTGTTAATGCTGGTGGGGAGTTGAGATACCGACCCACGACACAATGACGAGCTTATATATCCGTTGAATCCATGATTCAGCGACTTCTGGTACCCAGAGCACCCCCCCTCATCCTCCCCAAGGTTGTGTGGCTGTTCAGTGACGATGGGGCTGAGTGTGAACCACCCCTGCACGTTTTTAGACAGCGGGCCGACCAGGGGTGTTTCGCTTGATAGCTTGAAATGCTAGTCAAGTAGCCGGAGGCTAAGAGTAACGGAGCCAGCACCGGTGCTCGCACCGGTGCTCCTCCCATGTCGACTAATGCATGTTGACTGCGGTAGCGATAACAAGTGCGTGGTCTCAAAATAGCACGAGGGATGATGAGGGGTTGTGGCTGGTCCGATTTGTTCCTGGTTGGCTGGACTTGAGGCACATTAAGCCACTGTACTCGAGGCGGTGCACAGTAGTAGATTAATTGATAGGGAAGATAGAGAAGATGTCGGCCCAAGGAGCACTCAGTCACTGGTCCACGGTGCCACTACTTACTTCCCAAAGAGGAAACCAAGCATGCCTTGCAGTGCCAGTGCCAGGGCAATGCCTGAGGTGTTGAGCCTTGACTAAGCAGTCACCCCCCCCCCTCCTTCTCATCCTCCCCCGCAAACCCGCAATATGAGGTCACGGTGACTGATGGAGCCGGTAATGGACCGTCAATGCGCAAAGTTGATCGACTCCAAGCTTCGAAAGAAAAGTTCTAGCCTTTCTCTCCACTTTCATACCTTATCTTATTTCTCCACATGGACTGGATATTCCCTTCCATCTTTCCACTTTCACTTTCACATTCACCACCACACCCTCTTAATCGTCCTACTTCACACTCCCAACCATGCCCCTCGCATTCCTCATCACAGGAGCCACCGGCAACCAAGGCAGCGCCGTGATCAACGCCCTGCTCGGTCAGGAACTCGACGTGGAGATCCTCGCCGTGACCCGCAACCCGCACTCCAGCGCCGCCCGCCGCCTCACCCAGAAATCCCCCAAGATCAAGCTCATCCAGGGAGATCTCGACCACCCGGCACAGATCTTCGAAAATGCGAAGAAAGCCGCGACGTTGCCGATTTCTGGCGTCTTTAGCGTTCAGGTAGACCCAGCCCGCCCCAGCCCTGCCCTCGCCTTTCCCCCGGATTCCCCACACCCCCACAACCGCCACTACATCAAAGACAATGCACAATATGTCCAGTGCTGTATATTTACACAAGAAAATTGTATAGAACCCCTTCGCCTCCGGCCAAAGCGTGCAAAAAGAAGAACACCAAGGCAAAGCCCTGATCGACGCGGCCCTGGCGCACCAAATCCCGCACTTCGTGTACAGCTCCGTCGACCGCGGCGGCGACGCCTCCAGCGACAACCCGACCAGCATCCCGCACTTCATCAGCAAGCACCGGATCGAGCAGCACCTGTTCACGCGGACCCGCGAAGCCGAAGCCGGTGGCGCTGGCGGCAGCAACAGCACCACCACCACCACCACCATGACCTGGACAATCCTCCGCCCGACCTTCTTCTTCGAGAACCTCAGCCCGACCACGGGCCTCGCGGGGCGAGTGGCCGCGACGGCGTGGGACGCCTACCTGCAGGGGAAGCCGCTGCAGTGCGTGTCCGTGGCGGACGTGGGCCACTTCGCGGCGATGGCGCTGGTGCGGGCGGGCGCGGCTGCGGCCCCGTTCCGGAACCAGTGCCTGTCGCTGGCGGGCGACGATCTGACCTACGAGCATCTGCAGCGGACGGTGCGCGCGAAGACGGGCGGCCGCCCGCTGCCGACCACGTACCGCGTGCTGTGTTATTTGGTGCTGTGGGTGATGGGCGATCCCCGGACGATGTTCACGTGGTTCTATGAGCAAGGGTACGGGGCGGATATCCCGCGGTTGCGGAAGTTGTATCCCGGGTTGAAGAATTTGGAGGGGTGGTTGGAGGAGTGCGAGTGGGTGAAGAAGAAGCGTTAGTCTGGGAACTGCCTCTCAGAGACTAAGAAGTTGGTTCTTGAGTTTTGGGGGGGAGGATGTGTTTGATATCCAGTTTGATTTTTTTCGGGACTCTTTTTGATCATGTACTCAACTGTACAACTGGGTATGTCGACATTGTAGTATCCGCCATCTTACTACCTCATTTTCACAAGAGACCATTCCAATTCAGCATAGCCTATATACACCCAAGCTAACTACAAGGCAACGGCAACCAGGACCGTTTCCTCGACTCCTTAACTCGATGCTGCTGCTGCTGCTGCTGCTCCTTGTCCCCCCCTGGCACAGCCTTCCTCTCCCCCTCCCCCTCCCCCAGCACCGAAGAGACCCTCCCCACCAACTTCCGCACGGCCATCTGCGCCCCAAGCACACTATACTCCATGGCCGTGACCCCAGTCTCCCCCTCGATCTCCACAAACTGGCCAATCAACCCCAAATTCCGGATCGCGGGGGGCATCACGCGCGGGCGGTTGCCCTCGCCCCGCGGCAGCAAGCCCGCCGTCATCCGCGGCACGACGCAGGGGATGGTGATAGCCCCTTGCAGGATCCGGTCGGCCTCCGTCTCCTTGACCTCCAACTGCGCCAGCACCTCTCGCAGGATCTCCTCCCCGGTGCACTCGAGCATCGGCTTGCGCACCACCTCCCCGGTCCGCTCGGGGTACAACGCGTACCCCCAGAGGACCTGGACCTCGGCCGGCTGATCCGGGAAGACCGGCTGCGGCGGGATGTGCAGACTGACTACCCAGGGGGCATCGATCAGGGAGACGAACATCGGCGATGCTGACTCAGTGGTAGAGTTGTTGTTTGTACCTGTGATGCGTTCGAGGATGCGATTCCCGCCGGCGGCGCGGAGGGTGATCGTAAAGGACTCGAGGCGGGACTCCTCGAGGCGCGTGCAGAAGTTGTAGGCATTCCCCAAGCGGCGCGGGTCCTTGGTCGTCAGCTCGAGCCATAGCAGCCAGTTCTCGTCGAGCTCGTGGTCGGCTTCCATTTGGTAGAGTGGCGGGGCGGTCGTGTTGCTGCCGAGGCTGGAGCCGGACATGGCGCTGCCCAGGGAGACGAGGACGATGTCGTGCGGTTGGACGGGGATGGTCTGCTCCGGTCCGTTGAGGGGGTGGGCGATGATGGCGGAGACGAGGCGCGGTGGGTAGGGCGGTTCTCTCGACGATGGGAGGAGCTGCTGCTCCGCTTTGTGGGTATCGTCGTTGGAGTTATGACGGCTGCTGCGCTTGCGCTGGCGGGTGCTTGGGGTCCTGTGGACGCTGGCGGACGCGGACCCCGAATTGGAGGCGGCGGCTGATGGAGGTTCTGGGCGGGCAGCGTCGTCGTCGGCGAAGATGATGTCCGTGACGGTGGTCTGGAATTGGAAGTCGACCCCTTGGCGGCGGAGGAAGCGGGCGATCGGGGCGACGAGCGACTCGTGGCGGTTGTATTGGCCGCCGTCCAGGGGACGGGGGTGCGAGCTGGTGATGCTCGCGATGTCGTGTCCGAATTTGTGCAGGGCGCGGTGAAATTCGGCGGCGCTGTGGCAGGGTTTGAAGCCGAATCTGATGGCTATGTGTCAGCGTTGCTCATGCACGAGCAGAAAGACTCAATAGCGCATGAACTTGCCCAAAACTCGCATCGTCAAGGGTAGGGATAAACATACGTGGTACTCAACACCCCCCAGTAAGATCCACTAAAGAACCCCTTCCCAAAGTGATCCCGAATGCGCGATCTCCCCAACGCGACCTCACTTTTATTCAGGAAGCGGAACACTTCCACCCGATCCCACAGCCCAAGACTTGTACTGTGTTTGCAGTCGATCCGGACGAGGCCGTGCTTCGACCGTCGGATGAGCCGCGTCTGGTGGCACTGAGATTGTTGCTGCTGGTGGGGATGTTGTGCTTGCTCCTCTCCAGTCCCTCCACCATGCTGCTGCTGATGATGCTGACCTGCAGTACTCAAGGGTAGACCCCAGTAGTCGTATAGGTCATCCAAAACGCTCTTCCCCGGATTCACATCGGATGGAACCTCAGCGAACAACGTCGCCATCGCATTTCCGTTCAGCAATGGCATCCCGCCTGCCCGGTAGTGATACCCTTCTTCTGCATTGCCGGAGCTGACGGTCCCGCCGCCGGCTTGGTCGAGGGTCTCGAGGATGTGGATGTGCGAGGCTGGGAGGTGGCCTTCTTGCAGGAGGTGGACGGCGGCGGAAAGAGAGGTGATCCCTGCGCCGAGGATGTAGGCGTGGATTTCGGGGTGCGTGGCATCTGGTGTCTCCAACGGAAGGCGCATGGTGAGGATAATCTCCGGATGCAGAGGCGGGTTGTGGTGAATGAAGAAGACTGAATTTGCGCAGGGAACATCCGAGCAGGAAGCAGGTCTTTTGAACGGTGGCGCGCTGATACAGGGTATGCAGGAGTGATGTCAGGATGGTTGGTGGTTGTCACTGTACCCTGACAGTGCTGTGAACCATGGGTCGCATGCGGTTGGGTCCTTTTGACGAAATGATGAGCGCTTCGGTTGTTGCTTAGGGTAGGGCTGACCTCCGCCCCAGGTTGATCGACAAGTATTACTTACTGCAGATTCATTTAAGTTGATATTTCGTGGAGGTACTCAGTACCAATGTTATGGTACGTTGGTTTAAAAATCCGATCTAGTCCAAAATATGGTACGATACTATCTTCTAGCAAAGCGACGACAATTGACGTCATACACCCTCCAAACTCCGCATTACCGCCATCGACACCACCGCATCTCCCATGATCACATCGTGCAGCCCCGTCTTCAGAATCTCCTCTCGTACTACCCCTTGGTTTGATCGCCACTCCCTGATCGTCCCTGAAGCGCCAAGATCCACTTTCACGTCCGCTTCCTCCACCCCATCCCTGCCCAACGCACGCACCCCACGCGCAACCAATTCCCGGGCATGCCACCAGGGAATATCATAATCATCCTCCGCATGGATGACAGTGAGTCGATACGGCAGGCTATTCGCTCCACTGGCGTGAACAAACTCTGCAATCCGTTGTCCGCTGCTCCACTGGTCGCGGATGAACCCTTGCAGCGCCTGGAACAGAACCGGAAACCGCGCGAGCGGACTTAGGATGGGAACTGTTCCGGCCACGCGGTATGTTGACACCAAAGTCGGGACATCGACAAAGGGCGCGACAAGTACGATCCCCTTGAACGCCACTGGCGGAGACTGGCGGGCGTGATGCTGGGCGACGGCCAGAGTCACCGCGGTGCCCAGAGACTGGCCGAAGAGGAGAATGCGATGCGGCGGAATGTTGGCAACGTTCAGGGCCCAGTCTACGACGGCGAGAGCATCGGTGATAAGACCGGGCTCGGAGGGGGAGCCATTCGTCAGACCGAAGCCGCGGTAGTCGAAGGTCAGCACGTGGATGTTTTTGGACGGGTAGCCGGCCGCGAGAGCTCGGTAGTTGGGGACCCGATACCCTGACCCGATGGTTCCCCCGGCGCCGTGGAAGTGGAGGACTAGGATAGCATCTGGGTCGGAGGAGAGGAGTTTGAATGCGTGGCGCGTGGTGGTATCGGTGATGACGCCCGGAGTATCTTCCGATAGAAGAGCACGCTCGTTCTGGTGATAGACGGAAAGAGGCAGGATGTGCCAGGCGAAGAGGCGGTGGCCGTCTGGCGTGGGAATGAAGAAGGGAGTGACTTGATTGTGAAGAAACCCGAATGATTCGGGGACCGTGAGGTCTTTGAACCAGGTCATCTGCACCGCATGCAGGTAAACCACATGCGCTTGGAAGCCAGGCCGAGTCAACAGTCCTAGCAGGGCGGCATACAGTCCGACGGCGATTGCGGCCGAGAAAGAGCCATATTTGACAACTGATAGCATGATGTCGCCTATTGTCATGACTAAGTGGTGGCTAGGAGGGAGAAGGGCGAGATATCGAAGAGAAAATTCTAAAGAGAGTGAGATTGGGAGAGTGATGTTGTGGACCGTGAGAAGGTGAGAATGTGACTGAGGCTGGCGGCGGATCAGCGCTTATCGCCGACACTAAAACGCGGGGTCTCGAGCAATCACTAACATCAACAACAACTGGAGATGTCGTTTGGACCAGCTGATTCACCAGAACCGACCTTGTCATTCAGCGCAAAATGAAACGCGAGAAAAGATATTTTAGGAAATCCCAGCGCACCCAGTGCTCGCAGAGAACTATGGCAAGTGCACAACCTATGATTCTGGCCAAAGCGAAGGTCGAAACACCACCTACATTAGCGTGACAGCAGCGCTTAATCTCAATCTGTCATTTGGAGGAAAAAGCTTGATGGCGCTCTGGAACCTGGCATTCAACCATCTTCGCTGCTACCAACGCATTCCAAAACTAGAGTCTCATAGCCTTAAGAAGCGCATAATGTGTATACCAAGGCTACAAGAACCCTCGTTAACCAATTTGACGTAGAAATGCTTCATCTCTATACAGATCTATATCCCGTTATCTTTGAAGTCACGACAGAAACAATTAAATCACTGGACCTTGCATGCAAGACTCAACGTCCCAATGTCCTCAGTCAACTATACAGCCACCAACACAGTAACAACCCCAACATCAACCTCTACCTCAACCCACTACGCCGAACTCGTAGGCTGGATCCCCGAGAACTCCGGCCGGGGCACCCTCAGCCTGCTAGCTAGCTGCCTAACGACCCTCTTCCTCTGCACCTGGGTCGTAATCCACCCACGCGTGCACGCCTCCCCACGCCACAGCTTTTTCCACAAGCTGGTGCTGTTCCTCAAGACCCTCATTGCACCGGAATTCATCGCCGTCGAGGGTCTCCAAGAATGGGCGCAATGCCGACGCATGCGCCGCGATATCATGACTCTAACCAGCCCCGATAACAAAGACCCCCAGCACAGCAACAAGCGAACGCCAGCATTCACCCTACTCCACGCCTTCTACATCAGCATGCTTGCCCTGCGCTACCGCACCCCGCTAGGCGACCGGGTCCTGTGGCCCAACCAGTACGTCTGGCTGCTGCAGCAGGGCCTGATCGAGTGGAAGGACCACGCCCGCTGGGGGCTAGCCCTCACAGACATCGAGGACAAGAGCAAGGCGGACGCGGTGGCAAAGCTAATCGCGCTGGCGCAGGTGCTGTGGTTCGTGGCGCAATGTATCCTGCGCGCCGTGCACGGGCTACCCCTGGCGCAGCTCGAGGCCATGACCCTGGGTTATATCCCGCTCATTGCGGTGACGTATTTCTTCTGGTGGCACAAGCCCAAGGATATCCGGTCGCCGACGGTGGTGGAGCTGCCCGCAGCGATGACAAGCGAGCAGCGTGCGGTGTTTGAGTGTTTGGCGGTCAGTCACAAGTTCGACAATGAGGGCCTGCGCGATCAGGTCACCTACTGGAGTATCTGGTATCTGACATCGCGGGTATTTGAGAAGGAGGAGAGGGATCGAATGATGGCGGAGCAGGCACTCGAGATGCAGAAGAGCTCGTCGGGGTCGTCGGGGTCGTCATCCTCATCATTAGCAGAATCAGCAGCAGTGCATGTCGACTTTCAGACCGAAGGAAGCAAAAAAGAAATTGTGGTTGCTCACTGGGATCCCGATCTCTATCGCTCCAAGCTCTGGCCGTTGACGTGCCTCTTCGGAATGTCATTCGGGGCCCTGCACCTGGTGTCGTGGAATGATGTCTTCCCCACCATGGTGGAGTTGTGGTTGTGGCGTATCGCGGCATTCGTGTCCATGGGGTCTATGCTGGTGTTCATGCACTTTGAAAAAGTGGTGCTTCGATGGGAGGGGGTTGTGACTATCGTGAGCCTGTCTTCTCCGGCGTTGTACCTCCTGAGTCGGATGGTGATGATGGGGGAAGTGTTTGCGGCGCTGAGGGCGGAGGAGCCGGCGATCTACGATACTTACGAGGTTTCCTCCTACTGGGTCCATTTGTTATGAAAGGCGCAACTGCGTAGAGAATCAAAGATGTGAAGCGGGCTGAGCCCTGGCTGAGAACAGGATTGTCTGCCATTTTGGTTGCTGGAACTGAGGTTGAACTAATGCGCTCAACAAACGATTGAAACTCTACATCTGCGTCATCCCTTCGCATATATGGGAGCCATCTCAATCTTGCAGAGAAGATGGGGCCTTCCTACCTTGCTAGAGACGGTGCTCATTGGAACGGCTCACTGCCTTCCTTCCAGTTACAGTATGGATGAGTGCTTTTCCAAGTAGGCAGTCGCTTTCCCTCTAGCTGTAAGCCTTTTTCTCGCTCCTCCAGGTCTTGACCTCTTCTGTATCTGTTTCCTCATACCTCATTTTAGCACATCAAACACACTTATTCTTCCAAAACAGAACCTACATCTATCGTTACCACGTTGTTAGCCATGACTAGTGTATGTACCCTTCTACCTTTACCGACCAAGCACAAGCTCACAATGCATCGCAGACTTGGAGGCCACCGCCGTCTTGGGACATGACGCAGCCTGTGGGCCCACTGCAGTCTGGAAACCCACCGCACCCTTGGAATACACCAAATTCTCAGGACCCAGTTCAGTCTGGGTACCCACCGCCGCCTTCGAATCCACTGCAGCCTTCGAACCCATCGGAGAACTCAGATGCGATCACAACAGCTCCGCCGACGACATTGTCAGAAGCTTCAACGCAACAAGACAGTTCGACGCAGACTGAAGATAATAGGCTGGATCAGAGAGCGCCGCAGGCTCAGAACCGGCGGCGGTTTCAAATCAAGCGGCAGGTCCAGAGGCGGGCCCAAAGGGAGGTCCAAAGGCTTAGGTGGATGAGCAATATCTTGCCGAGAAGGATCTCCCCGCCAAGAGTCTTCCTGAGAAGAGACCCATTAGGACAGCCTCAACAAACAGACCTGCCGAACGTATCCGCAAGGCCTTTGACATCCACGGGGCTACTTCCTCCTCCAGAATCGAATCCCCCTTCTCGCGAGTATATCTGGGGGTGGATTGACCGCCGAGATCAAGGGCTAAGTTACGAGGATCTGCCTACTTGGTTGAGGGACGCAAGCCAGGAGCTAAGTCTGAAAGGCGCATTCGATGCCATGACTGAGCTTGCAGGAAAAATCCCAGGTGACACTAGCGCCCACTTTGAGTTACTCGCTAAACCAGTAGTGGACGACTTCCACCACCAGAACGCACCCACGCCTCAAGAGAGCGATTCCAGTATGATGGTGAGCCAGTTCGCCGCAACGCAGACTCGTCCATATTACGCAGCTCTTTTCGCTACCAAGCAAGGCCGGCATTATGGTACATCTTGGCACTGGTGGGCAATTGCTTCCGTTCGTGAGGCTGGTCCATTGGATACGACGGCATCCGACCCTGGCAAGCCACAACATCTCTTTGTGTATGATTCGAGGCCTTTGCAACTAGACCTTGAAGGGCTTAGGACTACGCGAGGCTTGCGCGATTTTCTTCGAAATGATCAATATCGAATGCTGAAGAGATTGAACCAGGCAGTTCCCATCAAATATCTTTTTCTCAATCAGGCGCGACTGCGGATGCCGGACCTGAGCAATCGCCTTCAAGAGACCTTGTGGTGGATCTTCAATGTGGTCAGCCGTGGTGATATGCCAATTGAGATCGGATCAGAGCTAAGCGATCTTCGGTGGAAGGCAGTCGACGCGATCACCCTGGAGTTTGAACACGATGAACAAGATACGGGAGCAAATGCAGAGCGGAAGTTGATCTTGAGATCGATTGCAAGAGCGGTTGAGCGTTGACACTTCCATCACATAGTTAGTGTAAGGTAGAGGACGAAATATACTTGCTTGCCTTTGACAAGAAGAGTTGAAAAAGAACAATCCACAGTCGGTCTAAGACAAGTTGAAGTTCTGAATTACGAAGAGACTGTCAGCTATCCAGCACCCAGACTGGCAGACGATACTGTCCTCAGTCAGCTTCCAAAGACTCCTCGCCTTACAAAAGAACTACCTAGATGCCTCGAGAGGATGTTCGACATGCATCCTATACCTGAGGCAGAATAGTCGGGGTGTATTGTCCGCTTCGCTAGCATCGAAGGCAATTGGGCATCATATATACAAAATACTCACCAATCATAACCTCAAAAATGACCTCGTAAATGAGAGCATTCTACCTCCGGGTCTGACCTTCTCCACTATACAGTCCTTTTTTAGATATCGATGATCGTCCCCATCGGATCCACCCTGGTGCCACACTAGCAGCTCCATCGCGATTCTCCACTCTCTCCTTTTTTTTTCCAGCATGTCAATAGCCTCAACCCCCGAAGCATTGCCAATTCCACAAATAAATACAGTAATCAGTACACTACCCCCTTCCAGAAGCCCTGTAGAACATTAGACTCGAATAAAAACACCCCCAAGCCATCCACAGCCTCTGGCTTACCCCCCCAAACAAAAAACCACACTCAAAGAACATCCCGCCATAATGCCCATCCCCAACTACGGCGTCTGGGTCGGCCACCCGCACCGCTTCCACGCGCAAAGTGCCCACCAAGACCACACGACCCCCCACATCAACCTGTTCTTACGCGACGGCCCCTCCAACCCCGACGACGACCGGGAACACGACCACCGCAACGACTCCGAAGTCCAAGTCGCCATCAACGTGAAATCCACTCAGCACGACACGCGCCTCGTCTTCTGGTTCGTCCGCGACTTCACACACCACCCGCTCGTCCATGAGCTCGCCAGCCTGGCCCCGGGCTTCCACCGCATCAAACCGCACCCGGACAACGCAGACGAAGACGACGAGCGTGAGCTCCCCTACCGCCACCAGCAGCACCACCCCACCCTCGTCGGGCTGGACTACCTGCGCACCACGCCAAAATTAGTGGATATCGAGGCCGGCCGCCTCCTCCCGCATGACATCCCCGGCAACGATAACGATATGCTGGATGAGCTGGAGCCCATCCTCAAGGAGGCGATCCACCGGCGCGCGACGGCGTATGTGTTTGGGAGCTCGTTCGGGACGGGCATCCACGACGTGCATATGAATCAGGGGAGTCGGAAGGCGTATGAGGATGCTGTGTTCAAGGATGGTGCGTTGGTGTTTCGGTTCCCCGATGGGCGGTGGGAGGCGGTGTTTCTGGCGTTTGCGTCGCAGGCGGTGCCTACGGATTATCGTGGACGGGCGCTCGTTGGCGGGGAGGGGAGGGACTTGGGGGGAGATTCTGGGGTGATTCATTTTTTGATCTTGTGGGTGGGTGTGGTATGAAGCTTGGGAGGGCGGGAGTATGATTGCATTATGATCAGTCTATATATAGATTATGGGACGAGATAGAATGGTAGAATGAAACAGTGATAGCCATGCAAAGTCAGTTACCCAGAAACCCTTTACCAAACACCTTGTACCCCTCGCCCTTGACGAAGGTCTGCTGCCACGGTTGTTGCTCCTTGTTCTCGGCCAGCTCCGCGAATAGCTGCGCGTGTGCCGCGCCGTCGATGTCGCCTGAAGATGACCCGTCCGCTCTCCGCTCGTCGACGAAGTAGAACCTTGGCTCTGGTCAGTGACGAAAGCCCACGGTACCAGAACTTTACAACCCGGACGGAAACAACAAAATAACTTACTTATATCCCTTCTCCTGGTAAGCGATCGCCGCACACTCGATCATATGCGCAGTGGCCGTCTTCCCCACCCCCAACGTGAAGAGCGGAGGTACGGCAACCGTGTTCAGTGCGTTCCCTGTGTACAGGAACGTCCGTGCTGCGGAGGCAGGTAGTGTCTTGAATCCCTCGACAGCCAGCTTGGCGGCGACAAAAACACTGGTGGTGTTGACGTTCAGATCGCGGGTGAATTGCTCAGTGGTGACTTTGAAAACGTCGTCGGCGTCCGTTGGGGTTAAGCCGTAGGCTAGTTGTTCCCACACCAAAGTTCAATAGCTTTTCTGGTATAATTTGCGGGGAAGTTGGCTGGAGACCGGAGAACATACCATTGTAGATGACCACGCTCGGAGCTCCCAGGGTAGTCTTCACGCGCGAGAAGACATCATGGACGGCCTGGGGGTCGGCGAGGTCGCATTGGATATGTAGCTGGGTCTCCGTACTGTCATCGGGGTTGACGTTTCGAGCTGTGAGGGCGACTCGGTAGCCCTTGGCTGCGAAGTGCTGGGCTGTGTGCTGGCCGATGTTGCGACCGGCACCGAGAATGAGGACGACTGGGGCTGCGGTGGTGGTCATGGTGGTTGACTATGGGGTCTAATTTGTCTGATAATCTGATGGATCATACCGGCAGGCGGGCTCGATTGCGAGATCCGACAGGTATTTATCTCGTCGTTGCGGTGGTTGGTGAAGGGGCATTATTACAAATGCAGATGCGGGATGAGACCCTATCGATGGAGTATTAGCAACAAAAACTCAAAGAAAGAGTGATACGAGCTTGCTTATGCAGCGGGCTCTCTAGGGTCTCTATGAGAGATGATGAATGCGGACAAGTAAGATCAACGATCTTAGATTCAATCCCAAGTTCCTATGGATAGGTTCCGTATTCGCAAAGCCATGGTGCAGTTTCCCGGTTCGAACCCGGGGACGGGGAAGATTATTGGCTCATCTCTCTTCCTCAATTTCATAACTCGAAAGCCTCTATAGCATACATTAGCAATCAGGATTGCTCAACCAAGTCCCGAAACGGCTTACTGCTTATTGTAAGAAAATAGGGAGTGTCTTTGGTGGCTCGATACAAATGATAAGGACTATAGTATGCGCCAAGCACGCAAGAGACTCCCGCTTACCAATTCCGCGGGGTAGATGCATAAGCAGGGCTCTTACAGTCAGATCTGATGAAACTCCCCCGCAAAGAATTGGTAATGTTAACTCCTGCAATGGAGTACACCTTGAGATGAAGCTCATGGTCTCAGTCATGTTTTTTTTTGATTCAGGAGCAGAAGCAAAAAGGAGATCAAGATATCAGTGGCATAAGTAGAAAAGCTAGACTACTGTAAGTCATGGTGCTGTCAGAAAGTGGTCTACCCGACGAAGTCAGCAAAGGATCAATTTACCCTTATGTTCTGCGCCTCTCCGTAGATCCGTCCTGAGTATCAAGTTATCAAATTATCCGCTAGCCTATACCAGATTTTGTGAAATTCTCCTTGAGAAATGTCATTCAAGCCCTCAACACCACCAGAACAAATAGCTCACCAGCAGGCCCGTAAATATCTTACGGACCTAAGTCGGAGACCTGTGTATGGATGCCTTGGTTCTGGGATGTTCACCCTCGATCTCAACATCGCCGTCACTATCAGCATTCATATCAACTCGCTTCGGGCATGCTCGCTTTCGCAAGGCTGGCACAGATCATAAGAACTAGAGGTGCTGATTGTGATGATGATGAATCGGCTGGTCCGGTTCGACGGAGGTCCGGACTGCGCCCCAGAGCCTCCATTGTAACAGATGGTCTAGAAGTCTAGGATTGTTAATCTGAGCTCCACTGGCAAGGTCAGGCGGTCGGACGGGAAAACACAAAAAGAAATCACTTGGCTGTTTGCAGTGTATCGCAGATCACTCAAGGGTAAAGTATCAAAAGATGACTGACTATAGTCAATGCGTATGTGTTGATCTTGACTACGCACGGTAGCAAGAGGGTAAAGCCTGAATGATACTGAGGTAGAAGCTCAGACGACGGGATGAGAGATATGATCAGTATTCAGGGTAGTGAACTGCATTTGAATGAATCATGTGTGTTCAATTCAATTGGTTTTCCAAACTACTTCTTTCGCCCAGCTGCAGAAGCCTACGGTTCTGAGCCAACAAAGTGTTTCGAGGTAATGGAGCTTGTCACTTAGGAAAATATTGCCACATCATCATCATACTCGTAGGCATGCTAGGCACAGTCTCGTTGGTGCTGTCACTTTCTATAATCCGTTGAGAGGCCCAATATAGAATTATATTAACAAGATGAGCTCCCGTGGCAACCTTAATCCCTCAGCCGACTTCCGAACAATGCTCATTTGTCCATGTGATCCTGGATCCAGGGGGAACCCAGATGCTTGTCCCAATCTAGCCAGAGCTTACCACAGCCCCTGTGACTGCTGCTTCACTTCATCCACCATGATTGGATCCAGATAGGCTCATTTCACCCTGATTGCTGCAACCATGCCAGTTCATGCCGGACAACAGTAGCGCAATCCTTCAGGCTTAGCCCGCAAACGCTGTGAAACCTTCTTTGTAGATATTAGATACTCCAAGACGGAGTAGCTTGTATGCAACAAATACTTCTCACCTTCCCCATCTGAGACAACAATTCTTGTTGTTTCTAAGCTGAGAGTGGATTTGTGATCAGCAAGCATGATTGCTAATGCTTATTCGGTGGACGCGGAAGAAATTCCGCCTTCTTCCCTTGGAATCTCGTAAGCGGGCCCCAATTTTCAGGACCCACCCATGATTGCATTGATTGCATCGATTGCATCCATTTGACCCCGCCATTGCTCGTCTCTACACATATATACCTTACGTGTACTCATCCTTGTCTCTCACATTTCGCTCACTATCACTGTCACTATCCCTTCATCTCAATCTCTCAGTCTCCTCCTTCACACATCAACTTCACTTCATCTCTTCACAACCCGCCAAAATGGTCCTCAAGCTCCACGGCCTCGCCATGTCGACCTGCACCAAGCGTGTGCAGGTTGTCCTCAACGAGAAGGGTGTCGACCACGAGTTCGTCCCCATCGACTTCGCCAAGGGCGAGCACAAGTCCGAGGCCTACCTCGCGAACCTCCAGCCCTTCGGCAAGGTGCCCGCGCTCGAGGACACCGAGACTGGAGTCAAGATCTTCGGTACCTTTACTTCTCCCCCCCCCTATGACCCTCGCTCCCTGCATTGCCAGCTCTAACCACCCCCCTTCTCTCCCGCTACAGAAAGCAGAGCCATCGGCCAATACATCGCCTCCAAGTACCGCGGCCAGGGCAACGAAGTCTCCCCCCCCGAGTCGGACCTGAAGGCCTTCGCTCTGTACCAGCAGGTACGTGGCCCACCCATACCCTGCCCCTCCTCCAATACAACCTTAGCCGGACCCTAACTTACACATCTGTAAACGCAGGCTCTCTCCGTCGAACAATCCTACTTCGACCCCGCCGTGTCCGGCATCGCATTCGAGAAGGTCTTCAAGGCGATGAAGGGTCTGGGCCAGACGGACGAGGGCCGCGTGCAGGCGCTGGTCGCCCAGCTGGACGCCGCCCTGCAGGGCTACGAGCGCATCCTGTCCAAACAAAAGTACCTGGCCGGTGACAGCGTGACCCTGGCCGACCTGTACCACCTCCCGTACGGCGCCTTCGTCGAGCCTTTCGGCTTCGCCGAGCTCCTGCCCAAGTACCCGCATACCCAGAAGTGGTGGGAGGAGCTGAAGGCCCGCGAGAGTTGGAAGAAGATCGCTGATGCTAAATAAGTAGCTAGCCTAGATTAGGGATTTTGTTTGAGTTATGAAGCGAATGATATCATTTTTTCCCACACGTTTTCGATCTATGCGAGAAAGGTGGCATTTTGGGAGGTTCGGGCCGTAGTAGAGCGGTCGGAAATGGTAAATGATTCAGAAGAATGTCTGCAGAGTTGATCGTCTGCGCTATCAGGGTGAGAGACATCGATACATGTACATTCCCACCTAATCCACCAATCCAGCTGGAAGTACCACTACGTAATCCACTGGCGCAGGCTCAACGCCATCCGGCTGTCCGACAATCTTCAACTCATCCCCCTTCTGGACCTTGACTCCTTGAAACGTGATCCGTGTCGCCGAGTGACCATCCATGTAGATGGAGGCAGAATTACCCAGCGAGTGGTTGCGGAAGTTGCCTACCCATTCGCCCACGACTTTGTCATTGAGACTCAGTGTCCAGCGCGACTCGCCACCGTATAGATCATAATAGTTGACGCCAATGTCGTACGTCCCCGTTGGAAAGTTGAGCGTAGTCTGCGCTGTCCCGGTTGTTGAATTCGATGTGGTCACAATGGCCGTCACATTCGAGGCCGTCTCGAACGGACTGACCGTGTACGGTTTGTATCCGTGCAGCGTCATGCTCTCCGCCTCAATACGCCAAGGATGATGACCCACCCGTCTCTTCTGGTCAGGGATGTCCGTAAGGTTATAATAGAAGTTGTTGATGGCATCCCGCCAGACGATTGAGTGCCCGGCTTGGTATATGAGTCGGTCAAGTACGGCGTCGTATCTTTCCTTATCAATCAGGTAGTTTAAGGATTTCCACTGTGTGATAAAAGTCTGCGCAGTTTCGGCACCGGCATAGTGGGCATCGTAAAAATGCTGGATTACAGTCTTGCCGGAGTGAAGCCGATGCGTCCAGGGGACATGGTGGAACCATAGAACCAGATCATCGGGAGTGGAATTGAGGTACTCATATCGTTGAGCAATCTCTGTAGGGTATTGACCTGTGTAGCCGGTTCCGTTCCCGACGGTTCGATCCATCCCTACGGACTCGTGGTCTGCTCGAGTCCACTGACCCCATCCGTTGTTGTCTTGGGAGGCCGGGTTTGGGCCGTAGTGAGTGTAAAGAATGTCTGTCAGGGTTTGGATGCCTAGATTTCCACTGTAGTTCTCATAGGCGGGCCAAGAGGCCATTGAGATGTTGGTGATGGTATTGATAATTTGAGGGTGTGATCCGAAGGTAAGCCGGATCCAGTCTTGCAAGATACGCTCCGAATCATCTTCCGGACTCCATGCAAGTCGACCATACGCGTATAGATTTGACATGGCAATGTGGCTGCCTAGCCATGTTGTATTGGTACCAACATTCACAACAGCCGCCCAGCCGCTAAGGGTGCGATTGAATCGTTCTCCGGATATAATGTCCCGGACGCGGGAGGGTTTGTGATCAACTCGAAGGTCGAAGTCGAGAATAGTCTTCCACAGGGGCGGAAGGTAGACGAGGTGATTCTGCTGACCCAGATACTCCTGGCTGACCTGGAGCTCAATGGCAGTATTGGTCTGGAACAGGTTGGCGAAAAGAGGCGATACGGGCTCGCGCACTTGGAAATCGATGGGCCCGTATTTGATTTGCACAACCACATTCTCCTCAAACTCGCCGTCTAGGTCTTTAAAGTACTGGACTGCTGCCTTAGCTCGGTCTGCCTTCCAATCTGACTCATTCAAGTTACTGTCGTAGACGAAGGCCCGGTACATAAGAATGCCCCCGTGCGGCTGAAGAGCTCGTGCGAAAAGATTTGCGCCTTGCGACAACGTCCGATTGTATGTGTTGGGGCCGGGCTGACCTTCGGAGTCAGCCTTGACTAGATACCCTGCCAGATCGGGAACATGATCATATAAGCTGTTTGTGATATTATTCCACCAGGCAACAACGTTTGCGTTGAGTGGATCGAAGGTGTCTAAGCCGCCGAGTGTTTCGGGAGATGCGAAGTTCAGCGATACGCCAATCTGGACACCGTAAGGTCGACATACATCTGCAATCCGAGCAAGTCCCTTCATATTTTCAGACGACAGTAGAGTTGCGTTCGCATTGACGTTATTGACGATCAAACCATTGATCCGCGTCGACGCAAGGAGGCGAGCATATTGCTTGACTGGTGCCAGGTCCTCAACGACCCGACCGTTCTTGAAAAAAATTGAGGATCCGCCGAAGCCTCTCTCAATCGAGCCATCCATGTTGTCCCACTGATTGACCCAACGTATTGGCGCATGGGGGTTGCTTGTATAGGCGACATGGGAGAAGTTTCCCTGGGCTAGCAGGGAAAGGTACTCGTATGCTCCATATAATGCCCCTCGCTCGCTCTGCCCCAAGATTTGGACAGATTTGCCAGCCGATCGCAAACAAAACCCATCTTGATCGAGTTCTGGAATGCCAATAGTGGCGTTGCATTTATGCCGGAATTCCTCAAGTGTCGCAACCAAGACCGAGGATGATGTGTCACAGCGTGATTGCGTGGTTGCCAGGTCTTTCGAGAAAATCGACTGGAATCCGGAGTTCAGCTCAGCGCCCGCTGTTTCAATTGGGCTTCCTTCGGTGCCATTGAATAGAGTAAGGTGTGAAGGTAGACCCTGCAGGCAAGAAGAATCACAGGGTACCGGAGCAAACCGCAACCAGCCAGCGAACCCATCCTCTGCCGCAGCCAAGGGCAGTAAAAGGCCCAATAATGAAAACGCGAAGCCAAACTGGACCATTGTATCATCCAATTTGGAAACAATGCGTTGAAGACAGCTTGAAGGCACAGTCAAGCATCTTTGCCATTCATATATGATGATCAACTAGTACTTAACTCCTCTCCCCGCATTATCGGACCACAAGCATGGGGAAGTGACCTCATGCTAAATGCTGCATTCAGGCTGTTATTGCCGACTAAGTTACCCGATGAAGCCGAGTAGATGTCAGCCATGTTGCTTAGTTGTGGGCTTACTGGGCTCATGGCTGAAGATAGCGCTGCCTTAGTGAGCTACCAGCTACGTTCATGGTTAGCAAAGTTTCAGCAAGTATAATGAGAATTGACATACAATCAGTCCGACCATGAACGATGTTTGAAGGGAAAATTAGCCAAATTTTGCCGAGAAACATGTTGTGCATCACTGGTTAGCCGACATGCAGCGTGTCTGCCACGGAGAATCTCCGGGAGTTGTGATGCAACATGGTGGAAGAACAGGCGATCGCCCATTTTAGGCAATTTACAATACAGCGCTCAGAATCGCGCTAGTCCGAAATGGTAAGCAATATACACGTGACTTTGATTTCTATATCAGGTATAGCGTGCTCTTTCCTTCCACCACCAAAGATCTAATATCATCAACACTTGCAAGTCAATCAGGACTTGTTCTCTGCACCCAGACATATAATCTCATGCTTGCCCGAAGGCTGTACTAGGCTGCACGAGCACTTGAATGAACACCAGCCATTTGTTGTGAGTATGGCTGCTAGCACTCCCACAACTGCCCGCAGCTTTCGGGCCCGCGCGGTATGCATCCTCGTCCCGCTGCTCAATACATTGAGTGAGATAGCAATTGACCGTTCATAGTGCGACAATTGTCGTCTTCGCAAGGTATATTCCTCTTCAAACAGATTAGACTTATGGTCCATCTCTGACAGCAGCACAATAGATCAAATGCGACAAGACTAGTCCCTGTTCCAGCTGTGGCACGCTGGGGATACCGTGCAGACCAGTTGGGGGACAGTCGACTGCTTCGGAGTCGCCTCGCACCAGTATACCAAATGACTAGTATGAAGCTATAAGCTCAATGTGGACAGCCTAAGCTGACTTGTCTCATAGTGAACACCGATTCTCTACGTTGCAGGAACAGCTTGCCACAATTCAGAAGACGCTCGAGAACATAACACGGTCTTCCAGCTCATCGAGCCCGGTCAAGCCGGCCCGGGAGCCGACTCCGCCGGGACCGACGATACCTCCATTCGAAGGTCACTCATCTTTCCATCATGAAACTCTCGTAGCTAGGGATGCTGCCTATTCTGCTGTGGACACTTCTCAGAATGGACAATTAGGCGACTACGTGTCAGCAGCACTTTCGTCTCTCAAAACCAGCCTCGATAGGCATCGCGCATCAGTAACGCATGGGGAGACGCGGCCCAACACTCAGCCGAAAGACCAACTACTTCCTGTAGAGTTGGTCATCGCTGTGGTAAAGAAAGTCAAAGGTTTGTTCGTACCTCCTTCCTTCCCCGTGATTGGCAATTGACCCAGGGCAGCGCAACCTCCGTTCACGTTGGTCAGTCAGTCTTGGATCGATGCATCTCGTATAGAGACTCTGTGTCACTCCATATACTTTCCACTCGATCCAGTTCCTGCTGGAACATATACACTGTTCTACGGGCTCTTCTTTTACATAATACGTGACTATTTTCACGCACAGGACCCTGACCTCGCGCGTTATGACTTATCATCAGCACTGGAAACATGTGAAAAACAGCTTGACTCAGGTCTCCGAGAACCCGCCATCATGGTTGAGCCAACCTTGGAGAAGATACAAGCACTGCTGATTGGAGTGAGTAGCTCAATTCTCATGCTTTACTTAATCTGACAGGCACAGATAACAAAATCACAAGAGGAATTTGACATTCAGCGGTGCTGGACATATTTATCGTTAGCTTTCAATATGTGCCAAACCATGGGACTACATCGGCGTACACCATTGAAAAACGACCCACTACCTATTGCAGAGGCTAAACGTCATGCCTTTTGGGCACTGTACACGATTGACAAAAACATCTCTCTTAACATCGGCCTGACGTCCCACTTTCAAGACCATGATATTGATGCCGACCTCTTCATGCCATCAGAAGACCCAAAGCAACGTCCATGGGATTTGATGAGTATTGTTCGCATGGAGTTTGCTAGTATTCAAGGGAAGGTCTACGATCAGCTATACTCAACGTCTGCTTGTCGGGCCAGCGATGAGCAGAGAACTGTAGCGATAGAAAAGCTTTCCTCAGACTTAGAGGCGGTTCGAGATAAATTGCTGACTGTAAAACCTGCCTCCGTCTCGTTAAGATTGATATCTAACACTGCCCACAGATCGACGTAAGCTTGGGTCTTTATGCTGACTCCCTACACGGCATTGCGGCTTGTGCTGATTTCATCGCTTATTCCGTGTTGACTGTCATCTATCGAGCCCAGACTCGACCAGGAGATGCCATGGCAATCTCATCGCGATGCTACGAGATCGCTACGTTAGCGCTTCACAGTCACCTCAAATGCTTTACATACTTCCGTGGCCGGCAAACCCACAAACAGACTGAATACGTGAATTGGTACGTTCCTTAATACCTAAAAAGCCAAATTCGACTTACCAGGTATAGGATATTGCTCTATCCTTCCTTTACACCTTTTGTCATTGTGTTCACCCACGCAATTACCACCGCAAGTGCGGTGGATCTAGCCCTTCTGCAGGACACTGTGAGCTCTTTGGAGCTTATCAAGGGTCTATCGCGGGGCTCAATGCATCTATATACAGTGTGCGAAGCATTTGTCAAGGCTGCTCAGGTTTTAGTCAAATCGCGACAAACATTGTCCGGCATCGAGCGTCACCAGGATGGGTCACTTGTCATGCCTGCCGCGCACGGGGCGGCCAACATTGCTTTCCCAGATGTCTCGTGGCCAGAAAACACCTTTGATTCTCTTATGAGCCAAACCGACATTTCCATGTTCTTGAACGACTTCATTGGCGCCAATCGATCGGTGATGGATATCTTGAATTCAGATTACATGAGTTAAATTATTCAGATGTGACTTATTATACATATGCGTCCACACGCCACGGTAGCGTCTTCGACGCCTTTCGTCTTCATCCTGGAATTACACTTCAGAAGACATACTATTGTGCTGTCAGTCGGAGGTCAACATTTAGTGGGTGGGAACAACTTACTGGGATGAACAAATACGGAACCCGTCGTTCGTACTCGCGCCATGCTTCTCCATATCTCTCCCGGCAGCGTTCGATATCACGACGAGCACGGTGGATAATCATGACAGTGAAAAATATGGAGTAGAACCAGGGAAATGGTGAGTTGAAGCCGGTGATCAGTCCCCATGAGAAGGCAAAAAACCAGTCACAGGTATAATGCACCTTTCGGGCCATTCCATCTGCCATATATCAGCCATCATTCCGAATTTATCGGTAGTTGAATTGACTTACACCAACCGCTGCACAAGATAGAGTCTCCAGTCTTGGTCGGAATCGACTCCGGGTTCTTCACAGCCCTCCATGGAAGCTGTGGGAATGTTCTGCGCGTCACAGAGACACCTCTCTCTTGAGCACGAAAGATGTTCTTTTGACTGTTGCATGTGTCCCATACCCAGTACATGAACAGATATAATGCAGCCCAAGCAGCCACAATCGATGGGTTCCATCGATATATTGATGGGTCGTGGTTCGCCAAATACAGGGTGCAATGGCAGTAGCTCATAGGCACACCTGCGAGGTTCCAGAAAATGAGCATGAAGCCCCATTTCTCATAATACATGTCCCTAGCCTCGATCAGTCCAGCCCGTACTGAAGCTTCTGGAAACACCTACCAGCTAGTGATGATCAGCTCTTCGCCTTTCGCACAAGCATTCGCGTACAAGAAGTGTGCCATGAGCAGGAAAGCGACCTCTCCCGAGACGAACCCAAGCTCTTCCCATTGTTTCAATGCCGTGCCCAAGGTCAACAAGAACAGTATGTACCACGGAATGCGAACCTCGAAGAACATCTTCATGTCAATCCATTGGAACAAACGGGGATTAAGCTCCGCTCCCATAAAGAAGTCATAGACATGCGATCCTGTCATCCGATGCTGGCATCCCCTCATTAGGGCGGAGGCATACGCGACGATAGAAACCAGAAACCCTGAGCAAATGGCGACGGACATTAGGGGACCAAACTCGGTGATGAGGGTGGTCAATGGGAAAAACCCGGTGAAATGCAAGGCCAGCGCGGCCACGATGGTGACGTACCAGGAGGCGGCCGCTGAGCAATAATAATCGAGTTGCTTGCCATTTAGGTGTGGCAGGCACTTTCCTTTGCCATATACACCGGGCAGATAGAGGTATCCGAGTCCTTCCAACACGAGAAACGTCCAGTATATGGCCCAAGCTTTGCGATGAGGGAAGGCATATGTATAGGCGAGGTCGAAGAGATGTGATGCAAATTCAGCAAGTGATTCTTCGGGGTTTGGCAAGGGAAGTTGGCCGTCATAGAACGTCGCCCCGATGTACATATAGTACATGAGGAGTGGAAAGCCAATCATGAGAAGCGCAACTCCTGGAGCACCTCCGAACTCGAAAGTGATCAGTTCATCCTCACTGGAATTGCTGGTCGACTTGAGTTGTTCTGTTCTTTGACGAGCTCGATGGATTTCGGGCTGTTGGCTGTAACCCGTGAGTGTCAGTCAGTATACCGTTCATTCGGCTCGGATGAATGGCACGAACCTGACAGCAGTACTGATCGCGGACATTTCGATGCTTATGATAATTCGGCCAGGGCTTAAGACAAGAATAGCCCCTGAGATTTATACTCAACCATTAACTCCCATTTCCATAGTCCTAGACTGTGAGCGTGCTTTCCGTGCTTTCCGTTCTCTCCGTGCCCTCCGTGTTCTCCGCGGAGCCCGCGGACTCCCTGGCCGCCCTGGTCGCTGCCGATTACTGCCTGGGGCAAGCGATGGAAATTTCGACTCTTGGGTCCTTATTGCTCTGCCTTTGTTAAAGAGTGCTTTGGGAGCCGATTATCCCATCAGTCTCTTTAAGTCGTTCCGGACTATTGAACGGTGTTATGCGCGCCATTGTGTCTAGGGTGGACCGTCGCGCATTAAGGAAACTATTCTGATTCTTAATTTCAGTCTTCAGCCTTTGCCTGTTATGATGGACGGATCGCCTTTTGTACAAGTATAGATTCTCGTTTGAGTGATCTGATTGCATAGCAGGGAACGACCTCTGTCTCCAGTATAAGGAAATCTCCACGAGCCAGTATCCAGCCTCCACACTGGCCACAAGCTCTCTTCCAAGACCTTTCCATAACCGCCCGACCATGAGCCAGGCAGACACCAATATTGCTTGTCACATTTATCTCAGTCTCTCTCAATTATAATTTGTGGCCCTACAGCCCTATGGGTTTTATTCTGCATGGGCTGTCCCGCCCGCGGCGGCAAGCTGGACCCCATGATTGGTCCAACATGAAAACCGCTCACCTCTTACTCTCAGGATCTTCCCAATCCACCCCCAGCTAAGCTTTCTTACTGGGATCACAGCGCGTCTCATATGCAGGTGACGGGCCTCGTCTGTGATGTATCAGCCATCGCCCGCATAGTCGATGTCTGGCCCCCTCACTCCTCACCCACGTCGCACCTGCCGAATCACACCCTGGAGTATAGCGCCCAGCAGCATGACTAGCATGCGATCTCGTTGGCGGACTCCAGAGCCCTCCCTGCTAGGCCTCCAGAATATGATTGCCTAACGATGGAAGCTGGAGTTGATCGAAGGGGAAAGGAGATATAACCAGTGTCCCCGACCGAGCGGATGCATCTCTAACTCTGAGCACAAGCACAACTCCGAGCCTCTGCGCACGTCAGCCATTTTGATCATCAGATCCATATAAACATCCCCTAAAGCCTTCGGTACCCGACCAACCCGGGACAGCACCTGGGACAAATCCACATCATGGGCGTCGCCAAGATCATCGGCAAGGTCATCATCATTCCCATCCTCTTCTGCATCTTCGTCGGATGCGTCATATACTTCCTCATCAAGTATCGACGGGACCGCAAGCGCGAGAAGAAGGAGGATGCGATCCGCGCCCAGCAGTTTCAGCAACAGCAGCAATACGTGCAGTATCAGACGCAGCAGGCGGTGGCGGCGCAGTACGGGCAGTCGCCGTACTACCATCAAGCGACCGCCGACGACTCGACGATGAAGAGGCCCGAGCCGGTGTTCTATCCGGTGCAGGCTCATGCGGGGACGGAGGGGGTTTGACTGAGAAACTGTCAGAAGGTGAGTGGATAAATCTGAGTATAGTGTAACGGAAAAAGGGAAGGGAGGTTGCTGATTCCTTGTGGAATATAGTTTGCTCGTTCGTGGTGGTTTTGATACCTATTTCTTGAATCATAAGTGAAGACCTCGTGGTTGGTTGCATGCTGGGCTGTACGGCACTGGCTTGGATCTGAGGGAGGCAATTCTTTGAGTACATGTTGTTTTTAGTATTGTTCGTTTGCCGATGCTGTACATGACACATGAAATTCTTCACTTTGCGAGATCTATTCGAAGGTCGATGGAGGATTTCTGGTTATAGTGGGTGTCCCTAGCCGCAAGTCTTTTTGATTCAGCCCAGTCTCATCTCTTGTCCCGACCTGCCTATTGACCGATGCTCCGGTCTCTGAGCCCCTCTCAAGGACTAAATCCCCATCTGGCAGAGCACTGTACACTCAAAACCTCAAGCCTCGCCTCTGATCGAGGAACTAGACCAGTAAGTTAGTCTAATTGTCATCAGAGAATCCAACAAACCCCCATATCCAGCCCCGCTCCACCGCGACCGACGCAGTTCCAAGAATACGCACCAACAAACCCCTCTCCCGAAAACCCCGAACCACCAAAGAAAGGTTCACCTATACCACAATGCAGACTGTAATTACTATAGTGTTCCTAGTGGTGACCCCGAATCTACTTAACCCATAGACCCCTTTTGGTGTAGGGAAGACATGACTCAGGCCCCCGTCCCAAATATATTAATTAATCTGACTCTCCGCCCCTCTCACAGAGCCAAAACCTGATACACTCCGGAATGAATCTGAGTCAGGGGCTTTGTTTCTTCTACCGGACCCTGGATATCGGCTCCGATCGAGAGAAACACTCCCTGAAAGACGGGGGCAATCCGGAGATTGATTTTATGGAATTTTGATCTAGTGGTGTTTCGGAGGGTTGGGAAGGGTTGCGGATGTAGTGTAGGAGGCGGACCGAGGGATTGCATGATCGTGGTGTTTCTCGCTGAGGCGGGGGGAATAGATTGATTGATAAGGGGGCTTTTCTTTTTGGGAGAGGTGTTTGTCGGGAATCGGGTTATGTGCCACGGGTTTTGAGGGCATACTTAGTACCAACCTACAATTGTTTGATTTTCTTGGTGAGATGATCGATAACTAGAGTGTGGTGGTGTAGTAAGGTACTGGGGTGGACGCGTCGAGCACGTGTCTCAGACCACACGCCACGTTCTTACCGACGCAGACCAAGGCCTGGCGTTCTTCCCCTCATAAACTTCGCTCCTACAGTACCTAGTACTTCGAAGCGCAGGCCTCAAGTGGACCGGAATCTGTCATAGGTTGACTCGCCAAAGGCGACAATCAAGGCGAAAACTTATATTCAAATCATGATCATTCTTCGTTAATGAAACGCTACAAAGCACAAACCCCAATACACTTTGCGAGGGGTCGGAGGAGACGACTGATCGGTCGAGAATAAAGTTTCTCTCACAACCTTCCACGGATCTCGGCCTCTTCCTGCTCATGGGCAGGCTTGTAGTCCACATAGCAGACACTGTTGTCCTCGAACGGCCCATAGAACCGACTGCGGTCGTACGGTGTGAAGGGGATCCCCTTGTACAGCCTCTCTACCAGGTCCGGGTTGCTCGTGAAGTAGCGGCCATACAGCAGGGCGTCGTAGCGACCGGACTCAAGCACATTCCACGAATTGGTCTGATCCCATCCGCCAGCGGAGAAGAACGGTGTGGAGCCGAAGATTTTCCGGAAGGAGGAGAGGTCGACGTCGGAGAGACCCCAGCTCTGGAGGAAGGTATCTTTCTCGGCCACGGAGAAGATTTGTTCGTATCTCTGTATTCATAACGTAAGAGTTTAGCTGGAGATCTCTGCACGAGAGGGGTCTGCCGCCTTCAGGGAGAGGTAAAGAGAGAGAGGGGATGCTGACCGGCTCAATGAAGCTGACATATGATAGGTTGGGCAGCGCTTGTTTTAGCGATGCGCATAGGAATGTCCAGGTCTCCATGCGCTGCTCGCCGCGCGCCTGGTTGAAGAGGCCGAAAGGCGAGAGACGGATGGCAAGGTTCTCTTCGCCGACCGTCTGTGCGAGCTCATTCATCAGCTCGAGGACGAACTGACAACGCTTCTCGGGACTGCCACCGTACGCATCGGTACGCTTGTTGATGTTCGAGCTCAGAAACTGCTCGGGAAGATATCCATTGCCACCGTGGATCTCGACGCCGTCGAATCCGATCTCCATTGCAGTCTTAGCGGCCTCGCAATAGTCCCGAATGGTCTGCTTGATGTGGGGAACGCTCATTCCGATGGGTGGGTGGTCTGCGTAGCGCACTGGCTCGGTCGAGCCCACCGGGGGGTGCGAATAACATTCTGTGGGCGAGTCCCAGACACTGGCGGAGGGACAGACGGCGGGCGATCCAGTCATCTGAGGGATTGTGGCACGGCCGGCGTGCCAGAGCTGGCAGTAAATGTATCCGCCTTTGGCGTGGACAGCTTCAACGACAGCTTTCCATCCTGCAGCCTGTTTCTTGGTGAAGAGACCGGGAACACCTGGCATGCCATTACTCTGGCGGAGAGGTTAGACATCGATTCGTATGGCGAAAGAGGTAAAAGGTCAGGTCGGATCTAATTACCTCGAGCGATGGGGGAATGCCCTCGGAGATGATCAATCCCCCTGGCGTTGCGCGTTGGCGATAGTACTCGACTATCAATTGTCCGGGATACCAGATCCGATTGGGATTCTCAGGCGTGCTGATCCGGTTCAGAGGCTCGCCCCGGTTGCGCGTCAAAGGGGCATGCACCACTCGGTGGCTGAGTTTGATCTTGCCATTAGCGATGGCCAGGGGCTGGAAGAGCTTGGACTGTTCTCGAAGAAGCTGATCGCCAGTCATGACTGCTATATTTGTGTGCACGGTGGGTTAAGGTTCTGTGCGATGGATGCAGTGGCTGCAGTGGCTGCAGGCAGAGATGAACAGTGGTTCTTGCGAAGGCACAGTTTCTCAGAAAGGGGAGCAGGATTGGGGAAACCATGGACAGCAATGGCCACCGCAGTGGGCTTTTCATCCCACCGGCCGGATCATGGACTTTTCTTCCTCTCGAGGCCCGCTTCCCTCTCCTCTTTGGTTGCTGGTCCGGCCATGGCCCGATGGAGGGGTGTTAAACGGGGACCAACAGGTGCCATTTCCATAACAGGCATGACAGATGGAGCCTGACAGGTTTGGGACCTTTGGGTCGTGTGGGAATATCCAACCAGCGACGAAGAGACGACACGAGAAATTATGGAGAGAGGGAGACACGGGTTGAACCTTGGGCAGTGGAGCGGATTGTCTGCTAGGCCATTGACCCGTGTTTCCGGCTGGCCGAGGAGGGGACGGTGGGTGACTAACGACGATCTGTTTTATTGTTGGCGTCTCCTTGTTGTGCTCCTTGAAGATTGTGATGTTGATGTTTGTGCGGATATGAGAGCTTGGGAAAGTGGAGGAGGAAACAATGTCAATAATGATCTGACATATAGACCCATGTGGTCAACCGTGCAGTCGACGACTGTCAACATCCCTGCCTTGCCCGTTGTACCAGCACCTACCGTCACCCATATGCCTGGTACGTAAACACACAATCACCCATCCACCCCTTTGACCCTGGCAGCGGAAACGCCAACCAACGACCGCCTCACTCCAGCCATTCCCGACTGAGCCGAGGTGAGATCTCCACTTCTCGGCCAGAAGCGAAAGTCAAAAACCAGGCCCGATCGGCTTGGCACGCATTTAGTCGCTTTAGGGCTTTTTCGAGCACGCGTCGGCGTCTCAGCCAAGTCCACCAGATTTTGATGAACTGACCCATTGACACTTGCTGCCTGCTGCGTACTCGGAACGCAGCAAATTTTCCCTTGTGGCACCCCCGAAAGACCGAAACATCTTCCATTCGAGGGTGTATGAAAGGACTTCACTGGCCAGTCCGACCGACGACTGTTCCAGAGGACCCAACTCAACCAAATAATGAACCATCCTAGCGCGGCTGGACGTTCACTCCATGATTGACGCTTGCATAAGTGGTTTGAGTGGCGAAACTCTAGAGATTGTTTATTTGCGCCATGGACGTCGCGTGAATTGCGCCGATGCAGTAGTGTGCAAAGCTATTTGCACCGATTTCCTCAGTAGTGGTGGCGTCGCCAATAGCCCGTCGTCGTCGCGCCGCTTGCATTTCCCCTAAACTGTAACATCGCGGGCTCTCACGGGGCTGAAGGATGAATGATCTCCGGAGGATGAAGAGGAAATTAATCTAAACCAATTAGATTAGCCTGCGGCTGAAAACATCGGAAGTTCGGATATTGATGTCTGATGTGAGTGAAAATTCTGTCCCTGCTAATTTGAGGACACTGGAGATAGGAGATGAGTTAGTCGTATAGTAGAGAGAGTTGAAGGCGTAGCTGGATTGAATGGGTAGACGCTACAGTAGGAACTACTAGGTACCGTGTGTTGCATTCTGGATCAGGTAATTGACAGCGACCACAACAATCGTCATCACGACCTCGTGTTCACGGCGATCTGACCCGTCCCTTTACTTCTACGTACTCCTTCGTTTAGACTACGTACAGGCACTGCATCCGATCCGCTCATTCTCCTCTTTAGATTTCTTGTTCATCTTTTCCCAAACCAGCAATCAAGATGGATATCATTTTCTGCACCTATCACAATCGATCTGCTGTGGAGGCTCTACCTACACGATCTTTCGAATCTCGAGCTCCTTGACCCAGTGACCAACCAGCTGGTTTCAACCGCCCAATCTCCCAGTCTCCCTTTCTCGAATCCTACCCCTGGCATTCTGCCCTGTCAGCTTAAGGTTTTCCTCTACGTTTTCTCAATCGCGACTGAGTGGGTCGATCAAGTCGACGGTTCGACTGCTGTTCACACTGTGACTGGAGGCCATTCAACTCGGCTTCCTTTTCCCATCTTCCGACCCAAACTTGAGCTTCTCTAGACACTCGCCTGGCGCCTATCAGAGTCGCCACGGTGGGCATCATCAGTGCTTGTCCCTGGGAGAAAGACTAGGCGCAATGACACTCGGACGATGGAGCTGGGACTCGCCTATTTATTTATAATACAAATGAGACTGGCTCCCCCACCGAACGTGCGATGGGGTTCTGAATCCTTTTCGTCAATGCTGTGTCGACCTCTGGGGATTCATTCGCTACTATCCCTTTTACCCCAGGCGTCATGACCGTGAACGATCCAAAGGATGTCTTGAACACCATCAACTTCGTCACACAGTGCTTGTGTATCCCTATCGTCAGTGTCTTTGTAATCCTGCGGTTCGCGATTCGTACATACTACAAGCAATGGGTGGGAGTGGAAGATTGTACGTTAAAAGATCTACAGATCACTTGCTCAGATTGTTAACATTTCCCAGGGTCTTGTCTCGCAGCATGGGTACGGCGGACCTGAAAAGCTGGAGATCTTTGTGAATGAGGATTGACTCCTATTAGATTCTGTTTATGGGGTACTGTTCCGTCTCAATTATAGGTGAGCCCTCCAGAGCCCATTACACTGCAATCGACTGACGCAGCATTCAGTGGGAAAATATGGGGGAGGGTACCACATTGATGATGTTTCGACTGCACACCAAGTCCTTTTCCGCAAGGTATTTTGAACTGAGCCTCGATAACTTACGATTTTTGACCTCCATCTCTCAGTTTTGCTATGTCGCCACCGTCCTCTACTGCCCCATGGCCCTGCTGGTCAAAGTCGCTCTCCTCTCCATCTTAACTCGCATCTTCGCTCCGTATCGCACCAAGATTCTCATGATCTACTTCTTTCTGGCCTGTCTGTTTGTCTACTATATTATCGCCGAGATTGTGAAAATCCGGATGTGCGACCCTATCCCAGGATACTGGACGGGTAACCCCAAGGCCAAATGTATGGACCAACAAGCCGCGCTCATCGCCGACTCAGTCATTAGTGTTGTCTCCGACCTGATTATCCTGATCTTGCCTCTTCCTTTGACGTGGTCTTTGCAAATGTCCCGCAGCAAGAAAATGCGAGTCATTGGTATGCTTTCGGCTGGTGGACTGGCCACAGCGTTCAGTCTTTACCGTTTGGTTTTGGTGGTCAGAGATGGCAGCTCAAGAGATATGACCATTGTATTTATTTGTGTCATTCTGTCTGGGTAAGGCTTCGATTCCCGCTCATATCAGCTTTCAATGATTTGAAGCATTCAGCCTAACTGACTGGTAAACAGCAATGCGGAGGGTGGGGTCGCCCTGATATGCGCTTGCCTTCCCACCATCAACATTCTCGTCAACAAGCTCCGCAAGAAGGGCTATTACAGTTCCGACCGTTACGAGCCCACCTCATCCTTGCAACTGAGTAAGATGAAGAACGGGGGCAGTAAGAGGTTTTCTTTGGGCACGTCACGTCGAGCCGATGGACTCGAATCTGCTTCGGATCAAAGTCACCTTATTTCCTTTGCTGGTGGGCCTGATGTTGCCTCCAGTGTGGAAACAGGCGGTATTCATAAGACGGTTGACGTATCACAGACTGTTGAGGTCATGGCAGATAGGGAGCACTAGGTTGGAGTCACTTGGGGGTTACTTTCGTTTTCTTTTCCTATGTTATGGGATATACCACTGGCCGTGCTTAACGAGACTAATATTCTTCTTGCAGTCATGATTCTGGGTGGAGGTTTAGCTAGAACATGTATAAATAGACTACCTAAGCTATAATGATGAGCATATACCTCCATGAACCCTTAGCTGGGCATATAAGCAGGAAAAGCAGAAGACGGGGCAAGAACACCACCAAACCTGAAGAACACAACCAACCCATCGCCAGCTCACATGACTCGCCACTGCAACTACCTGCCTACTCGGTACAAGGTACTCCGTACTTTACCACTATCACTGCTACTTAATGACCACCTTACCCCGTCTGCTAATCATCATCAAACTAGCTCCCCAAAACATCCATGCTAGACCCAATCGTTGACTCAGACATCCCTGCTGCAGGGCTTGCGTGATTCAGTGACACAAGAGCCATGTCTTATCTTGACACTTCCAACCAAGCTTTACCAAGCAAAAACAAGCCTTGTGTGCAATACTAGGTCTCAAACATCCTCACTTCCAGTCAGACAGTCCAGGCGCCAACACCGGGTCACTTAGAGTACCAATCCGTTCCGATTATCTATCTGTCACGCCATGCAAGCATGAACGGGCGTGACGTTACAACTACTTACGGTAGCAACCTTGACCGAGGTTCTGGTGCACGCAACGAGAGCAGACGAGATAGGATACAATCGGCTATCTACCTATGCTGATTTGTCCACCCTGGCCGTGTCTTCTGACTGCCTTGAAACCTCTACATTTAAAATAATGCTAACCTCGTTTTCCCGAAAGGTAGCACACCTCCTTCATCACTTCGACGTGCTCAAATCCTTCTCCAGGGTTGCCAAAGAGCTCTGAGACCGACCCTCAGTCGTGATAGTGAGCCATAGGAAGAAAGGAATAAGCATGTTGAGAGCAGCCTTAAGCATGCGACGTTGTCAGCTAAGCCAGTGACATTACAGACAATATCAGGATAATGCCTAGTTCACTATCTAGATTGACGTGAGTGCACCTCCAGAGAAGACCCCATCTCGCAACATACGCGACATTTATTTTCTTTTTTATTATCCGCCCCCCTTTCCTCCCCTCTATCTATTAAAATGTGGTGGTCGGCAGGGAAATCAGAATAATGTTCTTATCATCCCATTGGACTATGCTGAAGGAATAGTGTTGATTCACCATCAGCCTCGTCAGCACTGCGATACGGTTCGATACTGTCAAACGAATAGGTGACGAGCCAAGCCTTTGTTTCCACTTACCAAGAAACCAAAGTTCTCTTTTATCCGAGTGTACTTCCGGTGAAGTGCTCCGTGCTTTCCTCTGGCGCACCAAAGCTATCTTATTTCCAAAGGTACGCAGCATGATGGAAATTTACCCACACCCAATGGTACTTTCTCCGTTGTCTGAATGTGATTGTCTCTTTCCCAAAGCCTCGCCTTCTTCCCCTCTCCTGACCTGCGCGGTTGCTGCCATCATAGAAGCATCTCCGTCGGGAAACCGTAGCACCAGCCGCATCACAAGCAGGACGAGCCCGATAGACACAGTGGCACGCTTCGTCACCCCCCTAGCAATCAAGCTCATATGCAATCGCAAGCCTATCAATAGGCTCGAACCAGACATTCAACTTATCATCCTCATTAGGACGCTCCAGCGGTCAGCTAGAGCTACAGCTGGGCATGTTGGTGAACATTATTAGCCGCATCTGTGAATTCTCTGTAGAGAGGGGCTATTTGATACTTACGTATCAATCAGAATCACGGTAAAGACTGAGACTCCATTAACCGTGTCTCCGGGCCGGGTCCGGACCTCTGCTCTCCTTTGTTCTCCCTGATCTCCCCGGTTTCTTCCTTTCTCTTGGCAGCGGTGCTTGGCAGATGCCGACCTAAGTCTAGACTAGACTGCAGTCTTTAGGCTGCAATGCAAGCGAGGGTCCGAGGTGGGCGTGGTGAGTGGTGATTCTCATTCAGCAGCCCCCAACACCTCGGCCTGCCGCAGGCCCGCGGAGTCCTTTGTTTTGGTGTTTTGATGTTTTGACGGATGGACCGGGTCACGGTCCGTCCCTTTTTTTTTTCTTCGCAGTGGAGAACCGACCAGTCGACTCAACCGGCATCCACTCTTATTCCGTGCTCTATTAAAGTTCGATTCGTGGCTAGTTACGGACAATTAATTTGTCGTGCTATGAGACAGGCAACGCGTTCTTACTCAACACTTTTTTTTGTCTGGTAGGAACGCCGCCTCTCCCACTACCGATGTGGTAGAGCTCAACATTTATCGCCCAGACAAACAAATGCGAGCGTTATTCGAAGCTTAGGGCCATAAAAACACCACCAAATCTTCAGCCAGCCGCCGAAAATAGAGCCCGGGGTTAGCATGGATAACGAACACCTGGTAGGTTTACCCGGTTAATGACAACATAGAATTATCAATCGCATTGTCCAACATTTGACTAAGAGTACCAGTCAAATCCTACTTCTAGACACCACAGCAAGCCCACCAATAATCCCTTCCTCTTCGAGACCCTTGCCCAGCTCCTTCCCCCGCCTCGCCGAAATATGGATAGACGCCCAGCCAAAGCCAATGAGCCAGCCGAGGAGCCACGCACCACGACTCTGTTTTTCCAAGCATACATACTGAATTGATGATGTTACCTTATTGCATGCTTCCCTATCTTTCTAGCGCAATCGAGGACAAGATATCCAGTCAGTGTCATCACTCTATCTTCTCTGAGCTCTGCAGGAAACCCACGGCCAGACTCTGCAGAACAATCTACTTTCAACCATTCGCGTTAAGAACGATAAGCGCCCATTTCACGCAATTGCATATTTCCCTTCTACCGGACTAGGGTCTCCCCTCTTTCTAATATTGTTGATAAGCTTAACTTACCTTTCGAAACTCGTTCGGGGTTAGCAAACGCGCTAGTACTGGGTTCCTTCTGGATCCCAAAGACAAAAGACGGCGTCGCTGATGGTTGTTTATGACGTTGATGGATCATCACCTGTATGTCCTTCAAGCCTTTGATGTGCTAACTCAGTAGCTGGCTCACCTCAATGGTCCGAGATTGGCGCGGATTGTGAGCCATCGTCTTAGTCGAGGTTTGGAGCCCAGTGGCGTTTAGGACAAAGATACGGCATATTCCTCCACCACCGAGTCAGGTACAGTCCTGTTTCGCCGTCCACTTTCATGCGGTATCGGAGAATTTCCGGGCTGATCAAGCTAGGGCCATAGTGCCCAGGGTTGCTACTCTGTTCTGCTGCTGAATTTCGCCTTCTGATCGGATCGAAACAGGGCAGGGATCGCCGACAATCTGAGTCAAAGCAAAGGATTCTTTGATTCAAGCCAAAAGACCAAACGGAGACACTGAATTAACCGAGTATACATCCTGCCGACATTACTCTCTCCCGACAAAGGTAATATCCGGCGATAACAGCACAGGTCACCCTGCAACACCAGCAATACCAGCAGCATGTTCGGTGTCTTGGTGCTACGCAGGAAGCAAGCCCCCCAAACATCCTTCCGGTCTCGCCGGTTCTATATGCGTGGGGGAGGATATGGGGAGCCTTAGAAAGAAAACGCAAGCAAGTGGCGACTGTACCTGCTCCGGAGGGCGGAAAGGAGAAGAGCTTCTTGGCCCTGTAAGGTATCCGACGATGGAGACAACAGACTGGCATACTGAGCTCTGTCGATCTCTAACACTTAGTATTATACCATGTTCCTCCTCCTTGCCTCCCCCCCACACTATTCCGATGCAATATTCCTCCTGCAGTAAGCCGGCGACATCCCCACCCCTCGAGACGAAGGTGTGTCCAGCGGAGCTCCGGAGCATAACAGCCCTCTCTACTATACCTACCGTAAACTACTCTTTCTCTGAACTTTCACCCTTTATCTAGCCCTTCTTTAGAATGCAATCGGCACACCTGTTCTCAGGTATGCTCAATGAAAAAGAGGGGTGGGGGGTGTCAAGCCAAGGAGAGGGGCAACTGCACGGTAATCGTTAGTCTGTTCTGCGCGTAACTCCTGTACCCACCGCGATAGACAACAGTATCTCTCTTGTGTGTGTATCTCCCTCCTGCCTTGATTGTTCAGGCGCGTACTTCAGCTTTTTTCCAATCTATCAGACACTATCTATCTGTATGCCCAGAAAGAATGACGAATACATGGACTAGAGGAGATCTAGAGGAGGAGTGTGTAGTAAGAGGAAAGAACACACAACAACAGCGTTACATTTTCTGAGACAAGAAACCACTTTCCCTCCCCCCCCCCGCCGGGCCTCAGCCACCGACCGGCTTTGGTCGGAAATGTTTGATAGAACAACAAACATCTCTTTCTTAGACATGAAATACCTATTAGTAGGAGGAAGTGTACTGTGTTCCATCCGGCCGGTAGAGTAGTGTAGCTTCAGATGGTAGGTCAAAGAATGGCGGAAATGCAACACGATTTAGTTCCTTATAGGTCATTCAGGTCTGATGTAGTTAACTGGTGCTGTTATCTAATCTATTGGTTTCTAGCTAGCTAGCCTCGAGAAAAGAAATCTATAGGCTGGGGGGATGGCCGGGGCTTGAAAGTTGATTTCATGGTGCATGGGTTGCATGGGTGCATGGTACCCCCCTCGCCTTTCTACTCATAACTACTCATTCTCTCTAGTCCACTTTCCTATTCCCCCCACTCCCGGTCTTCCTCCCCGCGGCCCCGCTGGGTGTCAATTCGTCGCAAAGCCAGACGCCGAACAAAATCCCGAAAAGCAAAAAGAAAACAGCAAAAAATGAAATAAAGAAGTCATTGCGCCCGGATATAGTATAGCGCCTAGTAGATATAGGGAAAGAGGGAACCAGTTTCCAAAGATGAGAAAAAAAATAAAAAACTGGAAAAGACAGGGCCCTCGGGATCCTTCCGGCTCATGCCGCCGCCGCCAAGTCGTTGTTGACCCTGATGCAGGCTAGGATCATCCGGGTGATGGACGGCGACGATGACATACTGCCACTACTGCCCATCTCGTCCAGGATCAACCACTGCTGCAGCGTACGCGGATGGGGAGGCATAGCGCCGCTCAGGAGGTTCCCCGTCCAGGGCCGCAGGGATTGCGCGCGTGCGACCATCCACTCCTCTTCGCTGCGCGCCAGCCACATCTCTTCCGGAGCCGGTAGGGGCAGTTGCAGTAGTGTTTCAGCTTGGAAGAGGGGGTAAGAGTAGACCACTCCCCCGGTCGAAGAAGAATGACCATGAAGATGATGTGTCCGGGTCGCCAGCGTGTGGATGATGTGCACGAAATAGATGTTTCGGCGCAGGGACTCGCTGAATTTCCAGCGCGTCCAGTTGGATTCTTCTTCGTGAGAGGTCTGGAGAAGACCCCCGTAAACAATGCATAGGCGTTGGACCAGCTGGCAAGGACGTGTTAGGTCAGCACGCGGCACTCTGGCTAGTCGGTTCTGGGAAACGTCAAGGATTCTCAAGTGTACACACCTTGCTAATGGATTGAAGAACTGGGATTGCTGCAACCACCCCTGCTCCGTGGTTGGACGGATCAGGGCCCTGCCTTGCACTAGCCAGATTGGATAGACAGGTATCGTCAACCAAATCGAGTATCTGGTAGATGCAGAGGGTGTGGAGGGGAGTAATGCAGCTCTCCATCCCACGGCGGAAATGGTCGAAATCGCCGGCGCCACCGTGAGCCCTCTCGTAAGATTCCGCACAGGTGACATAAGCTGACAGAATAGCCAGCGTATTTTCGGGAGGCTCTTTCAGCGTTTGCATGGCTTCAGCATGCAACTCGGGATGTAAAAACGGGGAGATCAGCTTCTGCTGCAGTGCAACCCCAGGATACTCTCTCAGCAGGCTGACCATGTCCTGTATCACATCATCGGCACAACTACCGGAGGAATTGCTCCCTTTGGACATAAACCCCTGGCCAAGAAGATTTTCAGACGCTGTCTCGGGATATGCAGTTAAAGGCAAGATCTCATCCTCATCATAAGTCGAGAATCCCTCGCTCCAAGCATATTCCGTATAGGCAGAAGAAAGTGACGCCATCGTGAACCCATTGTTCAGCGAATACGTTTCGCTCGAAAATGTTGCTGGCGTCGGCGGCATCATGGCCGCAGGTGATGATGCGGTAGTTCCATGCTGCGAATGATATTGCAACTGTGATTGGTGACCAAAATAGTCATCGATGAGGCCAGGCAGGTGGTCATTCAATTGATAGGCGTCAGGCTGCGCAGATACATAATCAGAGCCAGCAGGTGATTCGTAGGGCCAGTGATTTTGCGTCGGAAATACGGAGCTGTCACCGTGGCCGTGAGTCAACAAATCCACATTGGTAGAAGTGGCGGGACTCCAAGGAGACCTCGAAGTGTCATCGGGATTAGATGAGGTTTCCAGAGGTGGTGCTGACAGCGCCCACGGCCCATTTCCAGAAGCCAGAGTCAGCGGAATATAGAGAGAGGCGAGGGGTGAAGTGGTGGCCTGGTCAGGGGTTTCCTGAGGCATGACAGACTCGGATGCTGTTACAGGAACGCAGGATGCTGGATAAACGCAGGGCCTTCGACTTTGTAGGCACCGGCTGCAGGAAGGTCGAGTCATAGAGCAACGCAGCTTCTTCTGAGCACAGGCATCACAAGACTTCCGCTTCGACTGACGTTCCTGACCAATGTTCTTGATGCATCGGCGACGGTGCCTATCCCGCAAATCGCCTGTCGTGCTATCAGTAAAAGTAATTCGGATACCATTCCGCCTGTTTGTCACAGTGAAACACAAGACAAAGGATCACGACTTGATCGATAGAGATGTGGGGAGAAGAGAAGGGTAGCCTACGTCGACTGTATGTCTTGTTGCAGATTCCGCACCGGAAGTCCCCGTCAGCTGTAGGCTGTGAGGAGGGTGGCGGGAAACATTGATTGCTACCCAGTTGTCTGTGCTCTTTCTCTTCGGTGGGATGCATGCTTCAAGGTGAAATGAGGTGCCTGGGGATCTAGCCTAGCGTAGGTAATGGTGGGGACTGTAAAATGGGGAGATTAGCTGATTTAAAACCAACGGTGATCATGTCCTGAAGAACTGTGTAGACAAGGTTATCTGTCGCAATTCAGAAGGACCCTCTGAGGGAGGACAGGTGAATAAAGTATTGCCAGTCTGAGATCTCTCTTGGCAGACTATAATTGACTATGCCGATTAGTCGATTCCCTCTCTCGTCTTATCCGACGAAACTTGTTCGAAGCAGAAGCGAATGGATGGAAGGATTGCAATCCCTTCTTTTGCATGTCTTGCACATGCAAGGATAAGAAAAGATACCATAATGCGGACCACTGACGAGACGGAAACCGACCGAAATCCGAGTAAGGTAATTCCAGTCAAGGATTTTAATTATTGCAGATAAATTCTGGCTGTTTTAGGGGGGGCTGAGGCAGGTGGGGGAGAGAGAGAGGAGGAGGGGGGGTGTGGCCTTAGGCCCAGGGAAGTCAGAAGGCAGATTGAAGTCAGTGGATGAATGAATAGATGTACGAGAGCGAGGGACTGTGTGAGTGCCTCAGTGCCTCAGTGCCTCAGTGCCTCAGTGCCTCAGTGCCTCAGTGCCTCAGTGCCTCAGTGCCTCAGTGCCTTAGCGCCTTAGCTTTGTGCGTGCGCTGAGGATAGGCGAGGCGAACCGCAAATGGCGCGACAGCTGCTATACATCCTTTCGATCTGATATTGCTCTGGCTGCGGGTGATTGTCCCTCGTTTAGGGGGTCTCTGCTCCAATCAATCAGTCTCCGTGTCCGGCTCGGGTTCTTTTTCACCAAGAGACTTAATATGTAAGATAAGTCTTGGGAGAAGCCCTCCTACTCAATAATATTAATATATTCAATGTACTGTACTCACGGATGCAGAAACGCCACCCCGACCGGGGATCGTCCCTGCCCAGGCCTGACTAGACTAGTCTGAGTCGTCATGTCTCTCATCAGCACTGAGTAGTAAGTTAGCAGTTGCTGTTATAGGATGGCTTTCCGATCGAATAAGGTTAGTCGAATCTCCAGCCTGGAGCCTGGAGCCTGCCCAATTTGCGTACTTTTCGAGGCCACATCTACAGACTGCAACGGAATAAACTAATCGTGAAAATAATAAGAAATGAATGAAGGATTCCAACTCATGCAAATCCTCAAACTCTCCCCCTTAGCAAAAGGAAGCTAATGCTCCCACTACCCACCTAGCGCTTCCTGCGGGAGCATCCATTGATGTTGACGCTGGTCCATTCTTCATTTCCTCTGGATTTAATCAATACATTCGATCAAAATCAATTGAATTACTCTTGTTGGACTGCAATCCTGCTAGCTTACCTCCGTTTCAGGTTTTACCGTTGGTCACGGCGTATTTGTCCTACCCCCTGCTAGGACATGACGAACCTGAATCCTTCAGGCCAGAACCTAGCACTGTGCTGTCAGTGGCATGGGGGCCCACCAAGCTAATACACTGCATGTTTATTTCCGAATCTTCAGCAGATAATTCTGGTTATCGAGGTGGATGCATCGGGGGAAATGTGGATTCGGGCAGGCAGTACGGGGTAGTAGGAACTGATTAACGATGAGACACCGTAGCACAGCAGAACTCCTTCATCGGCTGCACCGATAGGATTCTGAAGCCATCTGACTTACATGAACCCTGCGTAAGCCACAGATACGAGGCTTATCCCTGGACACACTTTGGTAGACCCCTGATTGGTGGGCAGTGCTCAGGGTTGGTTTGGAAAAGATCGAGAGCCTCACACATGCACCTTGATTAGCCAGAATCGAAAACGTCATCCGTACTCCATCTTCGCTTAAATTGACCTTGGAGTAAATGTCACTGCAACAACAAACTCTGTACACACTTTCTCTCTGGAAGAGGTAAAGAGACAGTCTTAAGTTATTGGACGGAGCTTGAAGGATCGGCGTCTGCCTTGCGAAATTTCGATTGTAGTAGTAAATTCTCTTACCTGCCATTGCTGGCTTAGTGGTCTTTCTAGAGGCCCCCCCCAATTATAGGATTCCAGACTCCAACGTCCGCAGCCACCAAAGTACGGCGTTAACCGACTAATTAAAGGATAAAATCTTACCTCAGCACTTGTACCCACGCGCGGAAGAATCAGGAATCAACGTTTACCCACGCGATGTCGATCTTCAGGCTCAATGCGGATTCGATACCTTGCATATATTCACGGTTAGGGGCCGAGACCGTATATCAATCATGCTATCCGGTATCGTCTTACTGCGTTGTCGCATGGCTGGGCTTTGTGACATCGAATTGATTAGATGTCCAGTCGTTTCCTCGTTCCAAGGGAATCCGGCACTTGGCACAATGGTCTTCAAGAGCCTGAAAATCTTCGTCATTGTAGATGTACAATTCAGAAATAAGTCGAGATAAACCAAACTGGATTTGTGAACTCCGCGGACTATGGCTAGCTCAGTTTCAACCCAATAAGGTACTATACGTGCACTAGGTCGGCTCAAGCCCTATCCGTTTTATTCAGGTCATGTACCGGTACTTTTGGGATGTAAGAACGGTCCTTCTAACATAGAGCACCCACTTTTTGCCTAGTGGGAAGGAGAACAATACCTCCGCATTTGTTGATGATTATGTCCGACAACGCCTTCCAAAGTAGTTTTCGGCCGGCCACTGGAGTAATGCTCCCGCCTGCATCACGGTTAGTGGATACTCCAACAGCGGCGAGTTTACAGCAGGCCCATAGACTAGTGTATGCGCTGAAGCATGTTAGAATTATAATAAGTCCGCAAACGTAGAACCCCCGCACTCACTCGCAACTGCAGGAGAGCTAAAAGCAGACTGGATCAGTCTATCCCATCAATGAGTATCAGTGCTGAGCTGAAGAGACAGTTTTGGTCTGCGGTACACTCCGGGGTCTGCATGGTTTCTAGCGCGGAATGAATGCAGACTTTGGTCTATACCGGAAAGAGTCATTGAAGAATACCCTGTGCAGGTTAGCCAGACAGCCCGATCCAAATACATTGGTCTGGTGTTCATTCGTCTTAAGTGCCGAGATCGTTAGCAAACATTTTGCGACAATCCGCCAAGTAAGGCCAACAATCAACGTCATGGCCATAGCTTAGAACTTGAATAATGTCCACTTACTTGTGACTCAGCTGAAATTGCTAAGTTAATCGATATGCCGAATTCAAGGCCCGTTGGAAGGCCATCCAATAGGGGGACAATGGGGAAAGCTCCCCGTCATGGTCTAAATCAGATGTGATTATGGCGTCTCATTAATCATACGCTAGAATAGGAGTCTCGTGGCTTAGGTACTCACTGCGGCCTGAAACAAATCCGAATATCATTCTCATCGGCTCCACCGCAATGATGCTCAGTAGATGCAAACCGAAACTGCTTTGCTCGGTAAATCCGGGACTGATGCAATGCATGTTTATGCGGAATTCTTCATCAGAATCGAGCATATTCCATAAATCCATCGAAGTTGATGAATCAGTGAGTTACCCAATAGGAGGCATGGACTAGAATTGGCCAAGGACATTATTGGGTCTAATTTCCAACATTGACCGTGCCTTAGTGGAGTGCCCGCGGACTTTCACATTCCGGATCCGCGATAATCACTTGGAGGGGCAGGTCTAGGCAAAGGCGAGGGGGTTTGGGCTCCATAGAACACAATAATTTTTATACACCTCTCATTGGGTCGGGATAGCCTCCAAGCCACCAACTTTTGTTTTCCTTGTTTTCCTTTTTCTTTTCTTTTGCCGAACAGTTACGGGCACTGAAATGGAGTGTTGAACGGGAGAACGTCGAGGCTGCACACTGGTATGTGCCTGGAGATGGAACGGAGGCTAGTTAAAATCCGCGAAGTGAAGCAGACTCTTCCCTTCAATGCCGGGAAGCTTTTCTCCAGGCAGGTTGCCTCATATTTGCTTACTGTGCCGCATTACACCCAGGGATCCCGTATGTGTCTAGGACTCAAGACTGCGAATATAGTCCTTAACATGCCCCACCGACTAAAATATTACTGCCGTAGTGTTGTCCCAGTGCCTGGCCAGCGCCAGCGTGTGTTGGTGGCGCTTCGAGCATTAGGCGCCAGGACCACTCGATGCCAGGTAGGCGGTCCTTCTTCCCAATGTAGAAGAGAGCATCACATTTCCAAGAGGAGTAAATTCCCTACCACGCATTCGTCGATATAGTACTCTATTCGTCTCTGGTGGGGTTCAAGCCTAAGTTGTTTTGTTCGGGTTAATAGGTCGCGGCCAGAGATGCCCCATAACGCTTGCTCTGCAAGAGCACCACTCGTGATTGATCTAAGTGGTGCACAGGGATAAGTTATCGGCGACCAACTCAGTTCTCAGACCGTCTTCAAGCGGCCTCATGGCCTCCATAACATTTGATTAAAGGACTTTGTAACCAGAAGGACTTGATCGGACCGATGACGCGCACTTGATTGAGTAAGTCCAGAAGCGATTAATCCATGGCTGCAAATCCGAATGCCTCAGATAAATACCCAGCATCTCTCACTTCTCCCGGAAGAGAGGCCGGGTAATACTGGTGGCATCGGGAGCTTGGTTCTCAGTCTGTTGATCCTCCTGAGCAGCAAGTCGATCGTGGTCGATGAGGAGAAAGCCAAGATTTAGTGTCCATTAGCAGGTAGAGGAAACAGGCTGCTGCTGTTTTATTTGCCGTTCGAAGCACAACGTGGGCCTGGGCATGAGTAGTCCGGCGGACCCTGCGGCACAGACCGTCAGATGAGAAGTACAATAGAGTTCTTATGCCACCTTGAAGACCCTTGTCTGTCTCACCTACCAGCCAGCCTGCCAAGTCTGGGTGGCCACATTTCGGCTTCAGCTGGCGTAATCATCTGCCTTCTCATTATACAGTGGAGGAAAGAGTGGTGCTCTTCCAAAGCCTTGGGTGACATCTGTCGACCTTGGCGACAAGAAGTCGAGGAGAAGTCACAGCACACCACCTTGGTAGCGAGTTGATCGTTATCTGGTAGGTTCAAATAATTGGTGAACAATTGAAATGACATTGATTATGACAGATAGTGACTCTGTTCCGCGGACCCCGATCGTGCAAAAGATGGGTTACTGTGCTCCGTGTGAATGAGATGAGATGAGATGAGAGAAGAGGAGAGGAGAGGAAATGATGAGCAGCCCAGCTGGAGATGGGCTTCTCCTCCCGAAATGAGAGAGCCTTCAGTGACTGATTTACCCTACCCGCCGCAACAGTAAGCCGGCCCCTCCGACTCCGGAATGATTGTCGGCACTTGCAACCAGCCAGACATTCACTCTATCATCAAAATCTGAAGGCTCCTTCCAACTGTTTCCTGAACTGGACGCTTGTATTCAGACTGTTGAGGAGCTTTACGTGGTTCTGATCCGGGTAAGGTCAAGCTGTCGAAGGGGGCGGCGAGAGGTGTCTTTGGCCCGACCGGCAAACTAGTCCTCCTTGCGAAGCATCCAACAA